CATTTATTCAGCAGTATTTAATTGCTAACAATGAGGTCAAGTGTCCATTCAATAGAACAAATTTACTTTCTTTGCTTTTGAGCCAAGAAGTCAGTGTACTCGTGGTAGGGAGCCTTGACGAAGGTGTTCTCGGTCCACATGGTGGGGTCCAAGAAGCTGTAACTGTGGCCAATGGCAGCGAAGGTGGCCTTGACGAAGTTACCAAGAGTGCGGGTGGCACCACGGGAAGAGGTGTAGCAATCGGTGACACCAGCAAGTTGAAGAACCTTCTTGGGAGTAGGAGCAGCAACGAGACCGGTACCACGGGGAGCAGGGACCAAACGAGAGATGGAAGAACCGCACTTGCCAGTAAGCTTGCAAGGAACAGTGTGGGGCTCACCAAGGGAAGATCCCCAGTAACCGCGACGAACAGGGATGACAGCGAGCTTGGCAAGGATGATGGCACCACGGATGGCAGTGGCAACTTCCTTGGAGCACTTGACACCAAGACCAACGTGACCGTTACCGTCGCCGATAACGACGAAAGCCTTGAAACGGGTGCGCTGACCAGCACGGGTCTGCTTCTGGACAGGGGTGATCTTCATAACCTCATCCTTGAGCTTGGGAAGGAAGTAATCAACAACCTGGTATTCCTTGATGGGAAGAGAGAAAAGATAGATTTCTTCAATGGTCTTGATCTTGCCATCCTTGACGAGACGACCGAGCTTGGTAACGGGAACCCTAAGGTACGAGGTAAATAAAACAAAAACATTTAGAACAGGGCACACAATGTTTCAACTTGATAGAAAGAGAAAACAAAAAAGAACTTACCACTCGTTCTTCTCTTCTTGACGACCACGACCGCGGCCACCACGACCACGACCACCACGTCCACCACGTCCGCGTCCAAATCCACCACGTCCTAAGCAAAAGGTTGAAGATGGTTAATATGATGTAGAGTAGAAGTCTCATTCAAGTTGTGAATGAGGGGTTGTAACATTCATGATCAAAACCACCATATGCTTTGTCTTTGAGTTTCGACACTACATTGTGGTGCTTTGTTTTGACAAGAGTTGGTAATGAGACAAATTACTTACTTTCGGCCGGTGCAGAGTCAGCCATGCTGTAATGAGGTAAATGTGAATGAGATTAGTTACACGTGCCCATATGTATTGCATCCTAGAGACGCCATCCAATGTTGACAATTGATGAGCGCATCCATCCATCCATCCATCCGTGCAATCCATGATGTAAATCACTCATTGCACTTTACCATCACCCTACTTACATTATATTTTCCAAAGTATGAAAAGAAGGAAGATTAGCGGGCCGTACATTCGCAATGGGTTATACCGCAACAGTGGGACTTTCCGAGTTGCACGTGATGTCTACAAAATTGAATTTTGGCATATAATCAATGTCCGGTCACCCATATACAGACAGGTAGCGCGGTGGTTATCAAAACGTTCAAAGCCCTGCCCAACATGACTTCAGATGAAGCAGATCCAGACAAGTTCACTGTCGAACAAGAACCGACAAGCAGCGACATTGTTGATGACGCTGACCAAAAGGTCAAATCCAGAGACGACACCATGGAACTTTTGACCAAATTGCTCGGTGACTACAATACTGCAGATGTAGGTGTCGATATTATGCAGTGTTCATTCTAAGCAGTGGAAAGTAGAGCTTGAGGAGACAGCATGGCTAATATTTTGATCCGCTCGCAGGATGTAATCGAAACAGAGGAAAAGGTTCGGCTCGAGTCTGACTTTGAGGATGGCCTTGACTTTTACCAAATTAGCTTTGACGAGGTGGACGGTATGTAGGAGGCAACAGTCGCGACCATTAGACAAATGTGCATAGATACTAAGATATGATGGTTCAGATCGGATATCGGCGTTCCAAGAGGATGAATTTGTCAAGGATGCTCTCGAGAAGGGAATGGATCTTCGACAGTATGCCCTACAAGTAGAGAATGAGATGCAAGAAATGCAGTCTGAGTATGAAAACGATTGTAAGTATAAGGGCTACAGTGATGGACATCGAGGTTGATACTAACGCTATTTCATCATAGACACTAACAACGTACGAGCGTTTATTGAGCTACATCAGCAATTCGAGGTAAGCAACAAGAGGGTGATAGCATGATAGATCAGACGCAGGTCGGACAATTGCGGAAGGCAGTCTTGCTAGCCAACGATAACCAGGTTACAGGGATACCTCCAAACGTACTGATTTGTGCATATCTAGGCTTCAGACGAAATTTTGGGCAATATGGAAGAAATGTTAAACGTCTTTCAGACCGATCTCGGCAATATTAGTCGAGAGATCAAGAACCTTCAGGAACGATCGACTGAAATTAACATCAAGCTGAAAAATCGAAAGGTTGATATGAGACCATAAGAATCAAGGCTATGTATAGCGTTATATGTTCAATGTTACTTACAATTTATGCTTGTTCTCAGGTCGTGGAAGGAAGACTTGGACACATTTTGGACAATGTGGTGGTAGCTCCACATATGATAAGGTACGTTGCCGTGCTTTAACATAGTCTTGGCGATTGAGGTAGCTAAATTTGCGTGCTTCATGCAGAAAAATTGTAGAGAGTGATGTGGACGAAGTATGGCTTCAGTATTTGTTGGAATTGAACAAGCGGATGCGATTTGTGAAAGCCAATCAGAACAAGCCTATTCGAGCTTTACAAGGCATTGGTCCAGAATTAGAAAAATTGCGCTTAAAGGTCAGTGTTATGCCTATGGTGGGCGAGACTAGAAGCACTTGAATGCTCACTTTTAATTCATATCGTAGGCTGCATCGACCATCCGAGACTTTTTCGTCAACAAGATCATTTCACTTCGAATACCAAATACCAATATTCAAATTTTGCAGCAATCTGTGTTTTTGAAATACAAAGCATTATACCACTTTGTCACTGAACGTCACCACGAGGCAGCCACTGAGATTCGCCAGACGTACATCAACACCATGCGATGGTACTTTTACAATCATTTTGATCGTTATCACAAGGGATTGGTGAAGCTTCAGGTATGTCCTGGATTGGCAAATTTATGATGGAGGTAGATTTTCTTGAGCAACAGTTACTAAAGGTTCTACTACTACATCATAGTCAAACATTGCCGATAAAACGGATCTTATTGGTGTAGAAGAAAGTGTAAAGAAAGGTAGTGCGGCATGAAAAAAAAAACCGTGCAGGATTGATGAACTGAATGACAGCTAACGATGAATCTTGATGGCTTGCGTAGGCGGACTGTTCAGCAGCGGCAAACCGTCAATAAGAGACAAGACCAACGTTTTTGCACTTGGCGATAGAATTGAGACGCTTCGTGCGCATGACGCTGGCGTCATTTTGGTTCATATTGCTGAAGATGAAGGCGTGGTAAGTGTTATGTTGGAGGTTTGTTCGAGTAATATTTGACTACTGACGGACATATATAATTGCAGAGATACCCATTTGAGCAATTATTTAGAAGCTTCAATCTCACATTGATTGATAATGCTAGCTCTGAATACCTCTTTATCACCGAATTTTTTGCAAACAACCAAGCCAATAATGATACGTCTAAGCTTATATTTCAGCATATTTTTACGTTAACGGAGGATGTCGGCCTGGTATGTTGATTTATATGGCCGTCGCCTTCTAGCAGCCCTTGCTTAACTCAGGCAAATCCTTTTCACCTTTTCTAACTGGCATTACTTTACAGACATTAACCAAGTCATACGTTGAACAATCTCATGATGCAGTTGGCATATTACTCTGCATTCGTATTAACACACAGCTCATGATGGAACTCCAGCGTCGTAGAGTGCCGACCATGGACAATTATTTAAACGCCACTAACATGCTTTTCTGGCCACGATACCAACACATTATGGATATGCATGTCGACAGCATACGGAAGATGGCGGCGTCCAAGTCAGTTATATCTGCCGTCAAGGACATCCATCCACATTACGTAACAAGGCGATACGCAGAATTTTCCACATCCGTACTTACACTCAATGATGGCTACGATGATTCAAATGTCACAAGCAGCTTACAGCGTCTACGCAACGAGCTCGAAGGTCTCCTGTCTCGGATGTCTAACGAACTGCCGGACACGATTCGGAAAATCGCCTTTTTAATCAATAATTACGATCTTATCGTTTCCGTTATGCAAGAGTCCGCTAATCGGGCTGTCAACGCGGAGCTAGAGCATGTGGAGCAAATTCTGGGACTTCAGAAAGCAGCGTTTGTGGAAGAGCAATTGAAACCCTTCTTTGGCGATATCATTGATTGTGTCAACAGCGTTGAACATCAAAAGAACAAGCCCAGCGATTTCAGTTCAGCTCAACTTGAAAGGATCTCGACCCAGTTTGCTCAGACATGGCGGCAGTCTCTTAGTGCCATCAACACCTCGGTCATTCAATACTTTTCCAACTTCAAAAACGGAACTACCGTCCTTCATGCTGCTCTAGGGCAATTAATCGTGTATTATACGAAATTCATCGACTTGTTGGAAAAGAGATACTCCGGACAAACTCAAGGTTCTACCGCCACAGGAGGTACGTTAGGTATTGCCGGTTGGAAGGTTCAGCCGGTCGGTGTACAAACGGTCATGGTGGCAGTCAAAAGCTTTAGATCAACATTTTAGAAAACTTCGTTGGTTTTTTAACCTAGGCAAAAAAACAAATAAATAACACCCCCTTTTTTTTCTTTCAATATTGGGGCCACACAGTTGATGTGAGATGGTACCATTACACGTTTTCCTCAAAGCAGGTCTTGTTTTGTTTGTTAATTCTTTTGTGGTGTCGCACATATCCTCAAAGAGTGGGGTATGAAAACAAATCGGTGTAACGGTAAATTATAGTATTGATTATCTTATCTGCACAAATGACACATGAAAATACCGACAATCTAAATGCATTCCAGTATAATTAAAGAGTATATATTTTTTCTTTTATTGTAACAAGATATTACAAAGGATCAATACACGTGATGGTGCTATGAGGGTATATAAACAAAACTATGCTCCAGGCTAAGTTACGTAATGGTGTAGACGATTGGGGTAAGTTAGAAAAAAAATTTGAGAGATGGGGGAAAATAGTAATAGGAACACAAGTAGGACGGAAATTTGGATTGGGTATTTTACAAATCATGAGTGGGTGGTTTGAGCGAGGAATCTTTTGGGATATTATTGGCCATCGGCTAGCAGTTCAAACCGAAGGCGACTTGTTTGGTCCAGTTGGAAATGGTCAACGCGCTTATGCAGATAAGTCCTTGGTCGCAATGGACAAACGATTTTTCGCGACCTCATCATGTTCATCTCCGCGACAATCATACGAAGATGATCAGGATTGGCTCTGATGTCTCGGTTGTACCTTGGAGGGAGCACAGATTTAACGACGGAGGATTCTTTTTCGCTTGGTTGTGACCAATATGCAGAATCGCCATCATCCTCGCATGCAGCATCAGCTATGGGGGTGGTGGCAGGTTCTTTGATGTATGTACCGGTCGAAAACAGCTTCAAAGGAGCACGAAGCAGACTGGCTGCGTCACGTAATGCAGTCGTGAAATCATTTGCAGTTTCTTCTTGGGATGATTTTGCATTGCTATAATGATCCTGTAATAATCGTGACAATAAAGCAATAGAGGTGCTTTGTGGGGCTACAACAGGTGCAACGGCATCCAGATGTGATATTAGAGCATGCGTCGACTGGGGAGGAGAGACCAGTGGTAAGGTCAATTTCGCGGCTGCGGACGTTGGTGGAGACTCAGTGGAAAAGGTAGATAAGAACGACGTAAATGACGACGGTGGTGATATTGAAAATTTTGAGAACATAGATGGCGATAGCGACATATCATCTGAATTTGGAGATGTTGAATAGATGTCTTGTTCGTTGTCTTCCGCAGTAGGCTGATGATGATACCAACAAAAAAAAAATACAGAGAAGAGGAGAGAAAAATTTAGTTAGTCACAGGTTCATTTTCGTGATGTAGAAAAAAGACTAATCTTTGTAACCAGTCGTGGTAAAAAAAAAAAAAAAATCTCTATCAACTAGAGGACGTGTACCAAGTATCACTCCCTAAGATCACTGATAGCAAGACATACATGCCCCCTTTCCCATTCCCCATGAAATCGAATTGAGGAAAATAAAATGCGGTTTAATTACCTCTGACAAATGTTTGGTTATCGTGAGAGTCGTGGTTGAAGATCGTCTTCGTCGTGGTATGATGCCGTAGGGGGTTGGGGTGTTGTTGGTCATGGTTTTGACCATTTTCTTGTATGTTTCATTGGAATCAGCATTGACTTGGACGGTACAAGGGGCTAAACAGGAAACGGTGTTTGGCATGTAAGAAGTGAAAGAAAGAAGAAGAAGCGGAAGAAAAGGCAAGTCTACGGAATAAGATAACGGAATTGGAGAGTTAAGCTCTTTGCTCTCCCCCCCAAGCCAACAAGACATCATATGGACAGACTTTCCTATTTCGGAGTCATCACCCCCGCCGATGACAACCAATCAGGCTCAATTCAGTAGACAATTTAAAGTTCTTCAGGGTTTTGGTGTGAGGTGAGTTACGGAATTGGTAACAAACACTTTTTAGCAAAGAGCTGTTGCCTTATATTGCTTATCGCCACCCGTGATGAGCATGACGTTTGCTTCCGAAAAGGATGCAAGGCAACAAGAAAAAGGCAAATGTCTAGGAAGATAAGGCGCTTGGAACTGACACCGCGCAGCTTGTCAGCTGTACCTACCGACCACCATGCCGCAACAAGTAAGTTGTCGCGAAAGAAGTACAAAAAGCCTTATTCGCTCTAATGTTACATCAATACAGGGTGCAGAGGGTACACGAACACTTGTGTTGCGGCAAAGAAATGCATTGGCGCACTACGATAAGGCAGGGGTGGTGAAGCCATCGGCTGCAGAGCGCGGATTTTAGAGTGATAAGAAATTGGGGGGAGGGACAAAGGCAGTAAAGCGAAGCCATATGGATTCTTGTTATGCTTTGATTCGGCAAAGTGGTGCCTCACATTGGTAAGCCGGAAATCAGGCTATAGGTAATTAGATAGGATATCCCCATGGAGAGGCTGAGTCTCAAAGACACCTCCTCCTTCCAAGTGGCGAGTCAGCTGAATGTTGGCAAGGAAGTCAACACCAGTTCAATATCTCGTGCTGTATTATTAGAACACAATAATGATCAGAACACACGGTATCGCAACCACCCACCCACTAATATTTTTCTCTAGTAGTGTCGTATAAACATAAAATAATAAAATAAAATAAAAAAAATTTTTTTAATCAAGCCGTAGATTACGGTCGGCAAATTTTTTAGCGCCTATCCGTGATAACGTTAGCACCGCCTTTCAGCCCTGGTTGAATTCTTTACAAGTAGTTATGAATTTACGATATGTTCATTGAATCATTACCAACGGCCTGACCAGATCATGACTTGGACATATTGAGGCCACCCCGTAAAAATAATAATTTTAATGTCGTGGGAAGGAAAATCATTATCACCTTTGCTTCGATTTTCTCTGGCCTCCCCTTAGTCATAAAAATGGGACATCTCCCATGATCATAGAAACCTAGCATGGTGTCCAGTGTGCCCGTCACAATGACCAATTTGGAAGGTGGGTTATCCAACATCATGGGTTGCTGATATGCAAATCGTCTCTGTTGGCATCACTCAAAACAGGAACAGGGTATGATCGGTTACTCCACATCCGGTCAAAATGAAGAAGGGGGGTACAGACAGTCAATGAAGGCTGCTGCCATAAAAAACAAAAACTTTATTCACAGATATTTTAGGGCTTTAGGTACTTTTTAAAGGATAAGGAGGGAATTTTTTACTAGTGGTGGTTTTTTGTAGGGGATCATTCACGACTCGCTGGTAACCTCACCATCTGCCCAGTTTGCCACTCTCGAAAAACTTCTTTGGCCTCTTCAGGTCGTCTATGTTTCATGTGAACCTTGATAATAGCATTGTACATTGATTGTAAAGGTCTAACATTGTAGATGCGCTGCATCAATTGCATGATTTGATAGGCTGCTCCAGCTCGTCCTTGCTTGAGGGCCTCATGTCTGACAAGGTAGTTGAATGTGACTACGTTTGGCTTGATACCCGTACTTTCCATATCGAAGAAGATCTTCTTGGCCGTAGCAATTTGTCCGTATTGACAGCACCAACGAATAAGAGCATTGTAGACATGGATATCGCTTTTGACTTTATACTGTGGCATCATATTTCGATAAATATGCATCATCCCTTCAATATTGCCAGTAGTTCCATGAGCATCAATCAACGAAGTGAATGTCGCGGTTGAAGGCTTCACACTGTTGTTCTGAGCAATACTGGAGAGGAAGGATGAACTGGCCATCTTGGCTTGCACAAATACATCGGCAAATAAGTTGTCCATCTTGACCAAGTCGCCAGAAGCTCCATGAGCTTTCAATAGGGTATCGTATGTAAAAGTGTTGGGCATGACATTGGCATTTCGCATGCTGTCCAAGATTTCAAATGCCTTGGAAGATTGGCCTCCTCTAACTGCTGCGTACATGTATAAGTTGTAAGAGTAAATGTTGGGGGTGTTTGCTCTGTTGAGTTCTTGCCAAATTCTTGAGCATGTAGCAAAATCCCGAGCACGTCCAAAGAACTTCAACATGTGATTGTAATCTCGGACATCTATGGAAACCCCAGTCGCCTTCATTTTGTCGTAAATATGGAAAAGTCGCTCCTTAACCACCTCCATTTCCTTGGTAGTGTACGCCTTCTTGTTCTTGGGCTTGAGAGACTGGAATGTGAGTGAATGTAACTCCGTTGATAGAGACTTGAGCTCATCTGATGCCTCCAATTCGTTATATTTCTTCCAGATTGTGTTCGGATTGCGGGTTCGAAGAGCTTGCAAAATTGTGCTCTGAGGCTTATTCTCTGAAGCCGAAGCTAAAGCATACTTGTCAAAAGCATGGCGACTGGAGTAGAGTCTATAAGCTTTTTTACAGGAAGGGCTCAGGCTATGCACCCGATTACCGACCAAGAATGTGCGTTTGAATAGTGCGTTACTTGCCATGGCCGAGCACTTTTTGGAGAAAAAAAAGGGCGAGAAGTAACCTCAAAAAAAAAATCCCCGGTCCCACTAAATGTGGTGACGTCGTCAATATTCGGGTGCCTGGCGGTGGCTTATTGCTCTGCTTTTCACTGCCGCCCTGGCTGGCTGACTTTTTTGTGCCATCTCATTTTTTGGACTGCCCAGGCCAAAGTTTCGTGTAAGGGTTATGGTTGGCCACTCGAGCTTTAGACTATTGTCGAGAGCACTATTATCGACTCCAAATGTTCAACTCTACCATCAGAGCCATAAACCTATATCATTCCTCAAACCAGTCTCCCCATTCACACTTTATTTAAAGCATTCTCCGTCGTTACGGCACTTTATACAAAAACCCGCCGTCAGCCTTGGCCTCAAACAACACTACACACAAAAAGCCCAAGTAGTTAGCGAGAAAAAGGAAGAAGACACAGCCCCCATAAAATACAATAGTTGGCTGGATCGCTTGCCGCCAAAGCTATCCCCTTATGTATATCTGACTCGCATGGATAAACCAATTGGAACATGGTTGTTGTACTGGCCGTGTGGTAAGCTTTAATTTCATTGATTCTATATTTGCTGTATCAAACAAAATTATAACCTCGCTTGAAACCAATATTAGCTTGGAGCATATCAATGGCGACCTATGCGAATAATCTCCCGCTGTCACAATCAGTGTATATGCTTGGTCTTTTCGGCGCAGGCGCTATTATCATGCGTGGTGCAGGCTGTACCATCAATGATCTTTGGGACCGAGATATTGACGACAAGGTTAGTCACCATTTGAATTTTTCAAATGGAAAGGACCCACGATGTGTCAATCGCATTCTTATGAATCTTTTATAGGTTGAGCGTACTAAGGTTAGACCCATTGCATCGGGAGCTATCACGCCAAAGCAGGGAATTGCTTTTCTCGGACTCCAACTTTCTGCTGGTCTTGCCATTCTGACACAATTAAACACATACAGGTACTTTTTTATAACGTCTACGGTAGGCTATTGAGCTACATTCAAACCTTTCAATCCAAACATTTAGTATTCTGCTAGGTGCTTCTTCTCTGTCTTTGGTGGTCACATATCCGCTCATGAAGCGTATCACGTATTGGCCACAGGTGGTGTTGGGATTAGCATTTAACTGGGGTGCCTTGCTTGGATGGTCAGCTATGACAGGTGCATGCGATCTGTCAGTTGTTGGACCTCTTTATGCTGGAGGTGTTGCCTGGACTCTTGTCTACGATACTATTTACGCTCATCAGGATAAGAAGGATGATATTAAGATCGGCGTCAAGTCAACTGCATTGCGATTTGGTGAAAATACCAACAAATGGCTGACGCTGTTTTCTGGTAGCTTTGTGTCCATGACAGCTCTTGCCGGTTACATGAACGGTCAAGGCCTTCCTTTCTACACATTGAGCGTCTTTGGAACGGCCGCACATCTCGCTTGGCAACTTAGAACTGTAGACTATAACAATCCTGCTGATTGTTGGAAGAAATTTAAAAGCAATACTTGGACTGGTGCCTTGTTGTGGTCAGGCATTGTCGCTGATAGTATGTGGACATCCATGCAAACCGGAGCTATCTAGAAGCCAGCGAACTGTGCGATTTCTGCATTTCTAATAAATGTACTTTTCATAAAATTTTGTGTGCTAGAACACGTATGCCCTCATTCAATTACAAATAACTGTATGAGCTCTAATCTGTAAAGAGTAACTGTAAAGAGTAACCTACCCCTGTCCATAGTAGAAACGCGACTGATCAAAGGTAAATTTGCCAAAAGTGCAATTTTTCCAAGCTTCCTCAAGCATTTCTCTTATACAGAGGTTTTTTTCTTTAAGATTAAAATAGTGAACGTCCTTCACCACTCATCAACCCTCTCCATAAGTGTAGTACTTCGTTCAAGTCATTGTGCCATCATCTCAAATAACAGTCACGCGTACACATTTTGGAGAGAGAGACGCACACACTCGTTGTCAGTGAGGCCATACTCTAATACCAAAATACAATGCTGCTTACACGCAGCTGGAATCCTATACGGAAGGGTCTCGTTACAGAGCGCACTTGGCGTGCCCTCGCGACTCCAGCAGTAAGGCATTACGTCGGTTTGGCACCACAGTCGTCTTCCACTGAAAATGCTCGGTATTCCATGGCTGATCCAGCTGAAAATGGTCCTCGAAACACCATTAATGCCGTTACTTCTGGTATTTGCTTTAATTTAATCATCACCATGTTTCAATTCGCACGTCTCTAACTCGGTCGCCGCAGGACTTGGAGCAACTGGCAAATCTGAACCTGAATTTAACATTGTCTCGACAGGTGTTGGTAAGTAACGCACCAACCCCGATAACAGCAAACTTGAAGAGTGCGTTTTTCAATTTATTAATTATGTGTGGCTTTAGGTTCGTTGCTGATGGTCAAGGTATTGTCGCAGAAACGTGGGATGGAGTGTCCTGGAAATGCATGCGACTAAAATTTTTGTTAACAGTTACCTCCCGACACCGATATCACTGCTGCAACTGGAACCGCCGTTGGATCCTCTAACCAGGTTTGTTAACAGATACCCGCTTTTTATTTTTACTGTTACTAATGGTGATCACTATTCAGGTATTTTCTAAATTGACTTTGGACGGTGGCAGCATCAGTGCTGTTTCCAGAAGAGCTCTTGGCGATAAGGCATTCCGCCAAAAGGTAAGTTCTTGTGCTAGGAAACTTCAATAATCGTGAATGAAAGAGAGAGTATAACCTTTGATCCAATTATAAAGTATGAAACACGTCAAGAATATGGTGATGTTTTGCTAGCTCCCAGCACAATTGGAGAAATCGCAATCATCAATATCAACGGCAGCACAGAGTACGCCATGCGACGAGACGCATTCCTTGCAAAAACTTCACGAGTTTCAGTAGAACTTGGCTTTAGCGGATTAAAAGGCAAAGAAACGGTAAATCATCCAAAAATAACGAAAGCACATGGGCGATAAGATTGTCATTTGAGTTTTGGATATCTAATGCCTGGATTCTACCATTTGTAGGGTGTCATCCAACGGATTGCACACAAAGTTAGAGGTCCCGGTACTATTGCCATATCTCATTACGGAGGATTATATCGTATCGTTTTGGAGGAAAATGAAGAATATCTAGTCAATCCTAGGTTAGTGCGGGTCATGTGGGATCGGTCTACTTTGATACAGCAAGGAGTTAATTGTACTGACTTGGCACTGTTCACATCGCAAACAGTCACTTGGTAGCATGGGATACGCGTACAGCTCCAACGAAATTATATAGAGCCAAACCAGCCATTCCATCGCCAAGGTCACGTCTTCGCCGCTATCACGTTTTCCGCAATATCGTAGATAGTCCTTCTATGCAGTCGTCTTTGCAATTTTGGGACGGTGTCTTTAGACAGACCCGCAACTGGGTACTTGGTGCGCCGGTAAGCCGAATTTCGAAACTGATTGGCAACTGATTTCAAACCCTCTTTTCTTATGATGCTGTGAACGGTAGGATTTTGTACGCATGAAAGGTCCAGGCGACTTCTATCTCTCGTCCCGAGTGGAACCTCGTTTTGCCAAGTCACGATTGTAAGGATGCTTTCATCATTCGTCCTATTGTCAATAAGGATCTAATTTTACTGAATCGCGTACTTTATTTTATTTTTATTCGGGGCTAGACTCAATGCCATTAGTCAAGCAGATGATTCCGTCGATCAAGCCATGTCACAAGCAGCTATCTTCCCCACTGGTGCCGCACCACCTAAAGATCCTAAGAAGCCCCACTTGGGATATGCCACTGAGAAATCCAGCAATGGAGAAATCACATACTATGCAAGCGTTGGCGGCAATGGCCGTGTATCTTTTACTCCTGCTAGACAACTTAAAGTCAACTCAGCGGAAGATAGCACATCAAGCTTATGATGCGTTGACCTCTGATGTCAAAGTGGATGTCTTTGTTAGCGGAACTTTAAATTTATAAGAATAAAACCTCGCATTCATCGGCATGGAACACTTGTTGTTCTTTACCCATGTCTACACTCCTTAACAGATTGCAAGAACTTGTTGCTGGCTCAACAGTTCCATACCTCTCCTTCAACCGTGATGTTGTTGATAAAGTAGGCAAAACTACTGGTCTTCTCGTCGCTACCTATGTAATCACCACGGCAAGTAATAGCACTATTAACATAGCACTTTATCGTACGTCGCTAATCTTATAGCCATCATAGAGGATTTATAGTGCTTTCTTTGGACCGCTATCTAAATATCCTGGTCCTTTCCTTGCAAAGTTCGTCAACTGGGGTGACGGTCACTATGATTCCCCTGCTGGGACAAGGTAGATAACATATTTTTTCAGAACCCCGAAAACACATTGGTTATTCACCCTTCAATTAGATTTGAAAAACTTATTAAGCTTCATAAAAAGTATGGACATATCGTTCGAATTGCTCGAAAGCAAATTAGCGTTAGCGATAAAGGTAACGTATCTCGTCATATTCACCGGACTGCGTACATCGACGCTGGGAGGCTGACAGCCCATTAGATATGATTCAACAGATTCTGGTCAAGGACGATCTACCAAAAGCATATAACTATGAGGCCTATCAACGTAAGTCGTTGCAATTTTCGGCATTATCTGTGATTCTCCTTGGCCAAGGACTTACGCAAATACTCAATTGCTATCTCTATTTAATTTGCAGTCGATGGCCACCCTACAATGTTCGATACCACAGATAAAGAATTTCACAAGTCAAGAAGAAGAATTCTCTCTCCAGCTTTCTCACTTCGGTACATTGGATCCATGGAACCTCTGATGCGCTCCACTACCACGCATCTAGAGGTCGCCTTGAGTAAATCAATCAACGAAGCAAATGCCGAAGGTCGAGAGTATGCCGAAATTGATTTGTGGATGATGCTACAACACTATGCAATCGTAAGTGTAACACGTGTATATGCACGCGATATTGAGCATATGCTGGATGATATTGAAATACATCGACTATAGGATATCATCGGTTTAGCCGCCTTTGGTACAGAATTTAATATGGTCACTACTGGTCATCATCCCTTGCCTGAAGTCATTACCGATCGTCTAAAATTTACTAGTTTTGTAAGTGTATGCCTTCTTTACATGTCTCATATTAGTTGTATCACAGCTAACAAGTTCATACTAGATTGGTTTACATCCAAAAATTAGTAAATGGATTCCAAAGAAACAACATCCTTTCTTGGTTACCTTTATGAAAGATGTCATCCAAAACCGAATTGACTCTGGTGAAAAGCGCCAAGATATCCTCGATTTCTTGATTGGAACACTTTACACCAAGTCAGAGGACGATCGACTCCAAATAGAAGATATCATCAATGAAGTTGTCCTCTTTTTGATTGCTGGTAGCGAAACCACTTCCAACACTATGGGATTCCTGTTCATGGAGATGTTCAAAAACCCACATGTTTATGAAGAGCTTCGAAATGAAATTGATGCTATTGAAATGGAGGAAGGACAAACCGTCCTCAATAATAGCCAAGTTAAGTCTCTGCCTTACTTGAATGCAGTCATCGAGGAAACTCTACGATTTCATCCCGCCAATCCAGGTGGTGCTCCCAGAAGAACTGTGAGCGACATAACCCTGGTGGGAAATCATTTTGTTCCCAAAAATGTTAGTGATCCCTTGTAATGAACTTTGTTTACCCATGAACCAAGCCGCTAAATCCAGTTCAAAACAGACTACAGTTATTGCTATGGGTATGGTTGCCCAGACACACCCTGACTACTGGGAAGAGGCTGACCGATTTATGCCAGAAAGATGGCTAGATCCAGTCAAAGCAAAGGAATATGCAATGGCCTGGTTCCCTTTTTCTGCAGGGTTTGTATTTTGTAGCGTTTATGTTTGCATGAACCTTCCGTTGCGTGACTGACTATTGAATTATAATTCATAGATCTCGAAATTGCATTGGAAAAGCTTTTAGTCTCCAAGAAATGCGTATTTGCGTTGCTAATCTCGTTAAGAAATTTGAATTTCTTCCCATTGAATCGTCCATGGAAGACGCAAAGGATAGACGACAATTCGTAACCCTGGGTATTGCTAAGAACACCTTCAAGGTTCGCGCAGTCTTGCGAACATAAATCATTATACTTAAACTCAATCTTTATATCGTCCCCATTCCATTCTCACCTTTTTATCATATGGCTTTTCTTATATTCTTATTCTCAAGTTCAAAGACAATAAACCCATTTTGAAACTCCGGAGCGATGGACAGTAAAGCCGCGACGGAAACTCGGTAGTGGTACAACCGAAAGCGCTCAGTCTCTCTTGCACAAATCATGACGCGGCTTTTCGCCTTTATTTGACTCTATTCCCGCACTTTCTCTTCTCGCATATCTGTTCGAGTTTTGCAAATTCAAAGATTGCCAATGTCGATTTCTATGGCTTTGGATCAGATTAAGGACGTCGTTAAGGGTGCCGACACCAAGACCACAGCCCTTGCAATAACAGCCGCCACTGCAGGTTGGTGGGCAGTGGTAAGTACCCGATGGCGTTTGTGACTTTACTCGTACGGCATTCTCATCTCAACACAATGCACCATAGCAACGGCTCTACGAAGCAGCAACTGGGCCATTGACAGCCGTACCTGGCAAATTTTATGGCCGATTGATCGATATTCCTTATGCGGCGCTGGATGTTCCTTATGGGCACAGGTACATTTGACTATCCTCCACAGCCTATTACCTAATATACGATTCTGACTGTGAGATTGATAGATTCTTGAACATGCGCGCCCTTCACGACAAGTATGGCCCTGTCGTGCGCATCTCACGAACTGTGCTGTCTGTTGCGGACAAGGACATGTTGAAGCAGGTTTTGGTCACGGATGATTTGAGGAAAGGCACTGTATATGACAACACGGCATGTAAGAAACTGATACTTGTATGAAGGAGAGGGGTATACTATGAGAAAACTTGGAAAGTAATGTGTCATATTGCTTCGTCTAGTTGGCAAGCCCAATATGTTCAACTTGACCGATAGAGCAGCCCATCGCCACACTAGACGTGTGATATCGCCTGCTTTCTCCATTCGATATCTAGCTGGTCTGGAACCGTTGCTGGAATCTGTCATTGATGATATGGTTGAAAAGGTGGAAGGAGACATCAGCGCGGCTGAAGCTAGCGGAAACCCTGAAGCTGTCATTGATCTTTGGCATTTGACACAAGCCGTTGCGCTGGATGCCATGGGCGAATGCGCTTTTGGAGAAACGTTTGGTATGATCAAAAATGGCTCCCATCCTTTGCCCAAAAGACTTACTGAAGGTGTACGCCGTGGCTCCATTGTAAGTACAATACTGGACTAAGTATTGAAAGGCACCTTTGTCCGCATTCTGATGTCGTTTTTGTTTTGATGGGATAGTTCTTCACCAATGGTTTCTTGGGCAAATTGGTCAAAATGTCGGGCATCAAGATGGCAGATCCATATATCGTTAACGTCAGTGTCATATCTCAGTATCATCGATAGGCTGCAAATATTCCCACTCACTCATAATATCCATCTCTATACAGTTCATGAAGGATGTGATCCACAAGCGAATGACTGCTGAAGCTCCTAGAAAGGATATTTTGCAGATCTTGATCGACGCTGCCAAAAGTGAAAAGTCTTCTGAACAACTTTCAGAAAATAGTGTCATGGGCGAAACCATGCTTTTCCTCTTTGCCGGAGCGGAGACCACATCCAACAGTGCAGCATTTGCGTTGATCGCTCTCTTGCAAGAGCGCGAGAAGTTCGAAAAGTTGCGAGAGGAAGTGGATACTTTGGAGTATAATGACGACAACAAAAATTTCTCCTATGAATCGCTCAAGAATGCCGCCTATTTGAATGCTGTCATCAATGAAACTCTTAGACTACGTCCTGTCACAGCTGCCGGTTTGGAAAGAATTGCAGAGCAAGATTTCGTGCTTGGACAAAGCTATCATATTCCCAAGGGCGTACGTAATTTGCTAATTTTTTTTTGGGCAACCTGAACACCCCATTCTCATACCTTGATTTTTCAGACCACAATTTTAGCCAATATGTACGTCGCCCATATGAACCCAGAGTACTTTGACGAACCCGAGCTATTCAAGCCGGAAAGATGGTTGGAAGGATACGAACCTGCTCCGGCTGTGGATGCATTTTATCCTTTCTCTGCAGGGTAAATACAATAGACGAAGGGCAGTGAAAAAAAAAAACCGGCTTTTCGCATCAACTAAATCCTATTTCCTAACAGATCCCGAAACTGCATTGGCAAAAACTTTGCTCTCCAGGAGATGCGCCTTGTAATTGCTACTTTGATCAAGAAGTTTGATTTTGATACGATACCAGAAAGCATGAAAGATGCAGAAGATATTCGTCACTTCATTACTTTGACCATTTGGAAAGATTCTTTCAAGGCAAAGGTTTCAAGAAGAAAAGATCTTTAGTGCCTATAAGTGAACGTTCCTTAGTAGCCATATCAACCGTAGCCTATCTATATTCATACAATACAGTACAGATATATTAACAAAAGTTTTTTTTTTATTGTCAATTCACATTTACAGCATAACAGTTCAACCTTATATTAAAGATATTTAGCATTGACTGCCGTATTTCTTCTTTCTGCCTTCGTGAGCTGGGTGATCCAACTTGTGAGCATGTTGAATAGGGTCAGTCTTTTGAGCAAAGACTTCAGCATCAAAGCCGCTCTCACTTGCAGCTAGCGTTTCAACAGACCAAATGATGTCAGACAGGACGGTATCAACCAGATCCTGACTGAAAGATTCTCTGACGACGATGCGGAGAATTTCAATATTTTCTTCGTTAGGTGGAAGGGGATAGTTGGGGATGATCCAACCACGGGTACGCAACAAGGTTGACACAGCAGCTTGCTTCACGTGAGGGTTCTCGCGCTTGAAATCGTCAGTCAGCTTGAATGCGATAACAGGTAAAGCTTCATTGTACTCTGTAATGCCCTTGACTGACTCCTTGATGGCATCGAGACCGCTTGCTCGCTCATATCCAAAAACGCCCTTAGCGCGATGCATATCTGATACTAAATCGAAATAGCCGCAGTTTTCCAAAGCGCGTGACAGCAATTTGGCGTTGTGCATATCATTCTTGATGATAGAGGTATAGCCTTGTCGACCCAGTCTGACAAAATTGTAATATTGAGCAATCTGCACGGGAATGAAATTTTAGTCAATGTCCGTTTTTTCCCCACCTGTCTTTAAGCTGCGAAAGTAAATCTTACCATGAAGCAGGCAGGACGAGAGAAGTTGAGTGTGTAAGTTTGCTCCGAGGCACCCAAGTAAGTAAGAGTGAAGATGAGTTCTTTAGGTAAAAAGTCTTCATTTTTCCAGAGCACCCATCCGACACCGGCGTAGGCGAGACCGAATTTGTGACCAGAGGTATTAATGGACTTGACTCTGGGAACATCAAAACTCCATTTGAGCTTAGGGAATGCAAAGGGTGCTACGAAACCACCGCTAGCAGCATCAACGTGAATAGGAATGTCCCAGCCCTTCTCTTCTTGGACTCTGTCCAACTCCTTGGACATGCCTTCAACGTCTTCGAAATGGCCAGTGTAAGTGCTACCGAGGATGACATATACACCGATGGTGTTCTCATCGCAAGCTTCAGCTGCCTTCTTGATATCCAGGCAATGATGGCTTTCGGCCGAGACAGGGATCAAACGGCATTCAACATCAAAGTACCGAGCAAACTTCTCGAGAGCGACTTGTGCATTGTTTCCCATAATGATGTTAGGTCTGGAAGTATCCTTTCCTGCAGCCTTTTGCCTTGCTTGCCAGCGCTTCTTCATAGCGAGACCACCAAGTTGCACAGCTTCAGAGGATCCGATGGTGGCAGTTCCTACGGCTCCCTTACTCTTCCACATATCTCCAATGATGGAAATGCATCTAGCGTGGATCTTCATTGTAGCTGGGTACTCGTCCTATTTAAGAGTGTGGTGGTTAGAAATTTATCCGGTGGTCCATATACTATTCAAAAGTTTCTTTCTTACTTGATCTGAAAGGTTCTTGCTGATATTTTCCATGATGAGTTTGTCGGCTTCTGGCTCCATCCAAGTATGGACTAATCATACCATGATGTCAATATATCAGTAAGCCAAGGTGCATTAGTATTCTCGAGATGTCCTTACCAAATGATGCCAAGTTCATATTAGGTCTTCCATCAAGCTCCAGTTCATCATGGATGAGCTGGTATGCAGCTTGTGCTTCGGTACTTTGTTCAGGCAGCTTGAACTTTGGGATCCCCTCAGTAGCATAACGCGAGCCATAAGCCAAGGTAGTAACGTGCTTGCCTCTGTCGGTGTGGTTCCTGACAGGGGACTCTTGAGCGTGTTTCATAATTTCATCGGAATCAACGTGTTTGTGAAGCATTTTGGTATGTGAGTGAACGGTTAGGTGGTTCTTATGAAGTAGATGAAAGGGTAAGCTAATGCTCGCTTTTATACTGCAATGCGAAACCTATTTTTTCCCTATTTGGAAACTCAGCGTGTCGCTCAACATGATGTAAGGGGAGAAATCGACACTACCAACGCCGAGAACCTTCGCAGATTATTGATATTGGATAAGATACCGCTCCCGCCAAGATCAATATTGTTGGAAGTCTTGATATCACTACAGATCGATATTCTTGTTCTACACTACAAACCTCATGTTTGCCAAACTATCTTTCTTCCTTGCGTACAAAATGACCTTCAGCTTCGGCAACGAGGGTACCCTATGTCCCAAGGGGATACTCTTTACAGATAATCCATACATTTCACATCACACTCCTCATACGCCTCTTAAAGTGCCCTGTTTGTATATTGACAGTCAAAGTCGGCTTCAAAGCAACTAGGCCCGACTGTTTTTCTATTTTGAGGTAATTTCCTTAAGTCCGTCCGAAATTACGTAGCTTATTGTTCGGTAAGACAGAGGTTCTGTTCGAAAAGTTGGACAAATAAGTAGTAAATAAGACAGAAAAAGATATACTGCATGGGTTTAAACCTTCAAAAGAAACATTCGATTTTGGTGTCATTCGTTAGCAACGTGCGCAGTGGGAAACTAGCGAGGATGCCATTGGATAGCGTTGTATTTATACGACAAAGCTAAGAAAAACTTAGTAGCATAAAGTTTAGGAAACTTGTAAGCAAGCAGAGCATAAATTGTACAGCTGGCCACTATTTCTTTTCTGCACAATCCTGGCGTAACTGATACCAGTAGAGTATGATTTAACGTATTATAGGACTAGAACAACCACAATTGCCATTAAAAAGGTTAAGGGTCGGTCATAGTCGAAAACCAGTCATAAAATGCCCTCCACGGCTGATTGCTCACTTCGGGCGCCGTAATACGTTGACGGTGATAAGTTCTCAGCGCGCTTCTTCTCGCTTCAGTAAATAGAAAATGGTGCCATATGCGAGTCAGGTTGCATTGGTGGAGACGGGAGCGAATTTTCTTTATTTACGTACTTGTGCCAAATATTGATCCATTGCCTGCAGAGACATGTCATCGTACCCCATAGTAGGGTTGGCTGTACTAGCATCACTTACTGTGTTAATTATAGAGAAAACTTTATAAGGCGTGTATGCCGTGGAAGCAATAGATAAAACATAAGCATAAGCCCACGAAAATTCGAGTATGGTGTATATTGCGTTACGTAATAACAGCGAACGGTAACTGTACTGCACCATAGCAAACTTGGTTCAAGAAGGCATCAGATAATACGTGTACTATGGAGGCGCAACAGGAAACTTGATTCGACAGCATCGTAGGAGCGTGCTTGGACAATTGTCTAATGAAATACAGCTTTCATTTCCAAAAGACTGCAGGATTAGAACATCACGTGCGTTAGTTCGGAACTCAAACTCGGTTGTACTGGAAACTCCACATCCACTTCTCAAACCGTTCCCAGAGATCACTCACACACTGTTTGGAAAGCGATCAGCGATCGGTATTTGGTGATTCGTGAACGGTGATCTCAACTTGAACACAATGCCTGAAGCGAAAGCACACAGCTTCCGGGAAGCAAGCTTCCAGAGCTTGCAATATTGCGACTATTGCCAAAAGGTTCTGTGGGGATTCGCCCGACAAGGGTGCCAATGTTCAGGTACGGACACACTCGGTGCTTTTTCTTTATGTTGATGACCTGTTTATCCATTTAATTACACCTATTAATGCGCCTAAACTCATAACCGCCGCCCATAGAATGTGGTTATACTTGTCATCACTTGTGCAGCCGATTCTCACTCAACTGCCATCAACTTGACCGGAACCATATGGGAGATGACCGGTCTTCTGTGTTTACAGACTCTGATCGCGAGAGTGTATCGCGATTTTCAACGCGCTCCGAGGTGTCTACGATGACCAGTTCTCGTCAGCGAACAAAGAAATCAAGTGGATTTGAATCAGATACACCCAACGCTCCACTTCGAGTAGTTGAAGACGCTTCCAAATCCTCCACTCCTAATACCGCGAAAACACATCGACGAACCATTCAGCAACATGTACAGGACTCCATGGCACAGGCGACATTGAATGGAGTGTGGAATCCTAATGTTTCAATTTTGTCGCCACGAGCAACGGGAAAAGCTTTCTCAAAGTTCGTTTCCCGTGCCACACCCATCACCAACGCCATGTCGTATTTCAATCATGTATATCACTGGCAACAGCCTGTTGTTTCCTTTTCATATTTAATATTTTGGAGTTTACTATGTAAGTGCTTAGTCATGGGAATCGGGTGGACTTTGCGGCCAATCCGGAAACTACGACCGTTTTAACCATGAATTTTGTCTGTGCCCGCTCTTTCGAAAAAAAGGTTTATACCCATCAATAATACTGCTCATACCGCCACTGGTCATCCTATTAACGCTACCACAACTGAAAAGTGCAAAATCTATATCGGATATCTTGTTGCCGACATGTACTGACGAAACCTCGCCGCAGTACTTTTCAAATCTGAGGACTGTACAAGACATTTTAACTCAAGGCATTACAATTCATGATAGATTGACGCGACAACTCACGCGTTTGAGTCAGGACAATACGCGAGTTCCATTGGGGATTCTTGGCGTCTCAGGTCTTATATCATCTATCGCTTGGATCTTTGGAAGGCAATTAATCTGGTTTATTGGATGTATGATTCTTTTACGGCACACATGGATGTGGCAGGTTGCTCAGAAGGCCGTCGGTGCCATATTGGAAGTTATTCAAACCTTAGTAGATGCAGCCGGTAAATTGGGTCTAATCAAAGCGAACCCCACTTTTGCTGCCGACCCAGATACTCTTGAAATCTCAATATTTGAAAATCAGAGATGGTGGGCAGGGTCAGGCTTCACAGGACAGGTATGTGTCATTGCCAGCTGGATAGCAAAGTTTTGAAGTCGTTGTTAATGTCAGACTTTGTCTTGATAGCTACTGCGGGCAGAGCGCAAGCCATGGACGAATATTACAGGTGCAGAGCCTCTTGTCCCCAAGGAAGATATGCCTCCACCCATCGGCTTTCGGTGGACTGATAAAGAATGGCATTTGGATGAATCCGGTCCTTGGATGGATTCTGTGCTTGGCATTGGTGAGTGATACTGGAATGCATCAGGTTATTTATATTAGAAAGTGAAACAGTGCCAAAACTAATATGGTCGGTTTTTGCTATTTCCTATTTATCTGCCCCCTCCCGCCTCTGTGCCACGCTTGACGATGTAGTCGTAAGTATTAATACTTCCTCTAACCCCCAAATTAGCCCTTCACAAAACTTATATTTTGCCTCACAGCGAGTGGTTGATCCAGATGAAGATGGTTGGATATATACAGATCACAAGTGGGAGAATGAACGAAAGGAATCGGATGCACAAGAACCTATATCGAGCTCATTGTCCGTTCATAGTCAGAAGGAGAATCGTTCTCGGTACCTCACTCGTCGTAGGCGATGGTATCGTAAAGCTGAAAAAATTCATAAAACGTATTAATTTCGAGCATCGATATGCTCAAAAACCATGACTGTATTTATGACGTTAGATGGGCATATTGTGTTGGAACAAAGATCAAATTGCCGGCTGACACCAGCAATTGGACTTTATGTGAGATTTGGCGGAAGTGATGATGAATATACAATGAATGGAGAGGGATGGGGTTACATGTACAAATATGTACAGGTTCAAATGTCACAAGCTAGACTAAAGTTTTGTAGAAAAAAGTAGAGAGCTGGAAGATATTTTCGCTGCACGGCAGCGTCGTATCTCCCGATAGCAGACTACAGTGTTCTTCCAACATAAGTAACAAGTTGGACGATGAATGTAAATACAAGTTGAAGCGGAAACCAGTATCACTGGGTGAAAAGGGCAGGGAAGGTGTGAGGATGGTTCAATGGGATTGCGAATTTGCAACAGATGACAGAAAGAGTGGTATTGTAGTTGGTTACTTGCGATGCGCTATAAAAAGTGGGATTTTGTTTCTTCTCTTGCTCACCCGGCCAGCGAGATGAACTGCTTTTTTTTTTTTTTTGCAGACTTGCAAATTTCTTTTTCTCAGGATCTCTGGGAAAGTTTGTGTCTAGATTGGAATGCCGTACAGTTTTACTCGTCATCCATAATGTCCTCACTGATTGAAGTAATCAAATCATTGACTCTAGCATCAAATTCAGTCCACATTTCCTGGCGCACGATATCCAAATGGGTGTTGAGGAACCGCTTTGTAGTACTTGATTCGGCGTTTGCACGCTTTTCATGACTAACGCCAGATGCGTCTGTTTGAGTTGGAAAGAGCCAAGAGACTATATCTGAAAACCAGGAGTTTGACTTGGAGACGTTAGGTAACTTGCTGTTGCAAGCGTTGATATCGGCGGAGACCTTCAAGAAGACATCGAAACGATCGATTTGTTGGCTTAGGCGATAACCCATAGCTTGATTCAAAGAATATACTGTAGATACAAGCTCATCTTGTCCTGGAAGTAACATGGAAGGAATTTCTTCATCGAGTTCGAAGTCTTCAGCCTTGCGATAAGCATCTGCAGAAGGCATAAGTGTGGGCAGGAGTTCTTCCAAATTTGGTTCAACCGATTCCAGAAGATGTCCATGAAGTTGTGTAATATGAACGGTAATCATTTCTGGTAGTTGGACGAGGCATGAAGCTGAAAATAGATCAACCAAGTGATGTTAGAAAAATAAAATTCATATTTGGGCGGTACGCCTAACCATGCTGAGGTTCTCACCATGTACGTCATGAACTCCGAAAGCACCAGCTTCTTTTTGAAGCGTTTCGAAAACACCTCCACGTCGGTCTGGCCGCATACGACCCATAGAGAGGAGCACATCGCTACCACGAGAACTAAGGACTTCGTCCAGTACGTTCTCGTAATACTCACGTAAATTGCTACGTATGATGCGTTCGGTTTCTTGGGAATGATAACTGGCCGAGGTCACCACAGTGCTCAACAGGAGTAGTAAGAGAGCAGTTAACAATGATTTGTACATCGTGTTCTTGTTTGAATCGATAAAAGTAGAGAGAGGAAAGGAAGCAATTGCCAGCAATGTGCCGATGAGCAGGAGAAACGTTTTTTTTTGCTTATAGCTACCACCAGGGTTAACCGAAAGTTCCAAAGAGTGCGAATGTGGCCATCTATTTTATAGCTGCATTGGATAATAGGTCCCGAGCTGAGAAAGAAATTGTCATAGGACTGGACAACCATTTTGGATGCTTTGGGAAAGTGGGCTTGGCTGGAAAGCCAGGAATCACCACTTGAACCAAACAACAAGCCTACTCCGCTGGTATATTGACTCGGGCGAGGCGATAGTTAGCGAGGTAAATGATCATCATCATTGCTGAGGCATGCTTGCTTGGCATGCTACCTTACGTATTGTGTGTTTATTTTATTTTATTTTACTTATCAGACAAAAAATTGTTACATATTGCCTGGCCCAACCAATATAGTGGCCCGGGCAACTTGGTGGCTGCTGCAACTCAACCGTTTCCTTATTGTCAAAAATCAGCGCACTGTTAACCACTCGCTCTCATGTCACTTTTTGTAACGTCGCACATTTGCTCTCGGTACAACCCATAAAAAACGTAACTCCAGCACAACTAAAAAACTGTCTGCATCTCTGCTTCAAAACTGCATGCTTACAATCAAATATGCAGACATCATGAAAGCTTTTCTTACCACCACGAGATAAGTACGGAGGGTCACGCGATCCGCATAAAATTTTTGTTTTCTACATGCTTCTGAAGAGTGGAAACCTTATTCAATATCGATTCATCAACCTCAATTAATCCAATCGCTTCCACTCATCCCAACTGCGAAAATTGTTTGCCGATATCCTTTCAAGCCAAGTTGCAACCTTTGCTCTTGAACAGAAAAAAACAAAATTAACAAAGCAAACTTCCTAATTACGTACCATATAGATATGGCTGGTAAGGTAGAATAACCAGTTCTCACAAATTTATCATTTGCAAATGGAGCGATGAGAGTGAGTCACAGATATGCAGAGAAGAGGAGTCCCTATTACGTCCATAGACGTAAGCATAACAAATGTATCCAGCACTCACCTATGTTCAAACATCCATCCCACCACGCGTTTCCAAGCCTGACGACTGCCCATGGTAAATTCTCGAAATTCCTTTGACGCGATGGAACCATGCAGCAAAACAAACTAAAAAAATTACCCATCTCGGCCACCCTAATATTCTTTTCTCTTTGATTAATTTGAAACGAAGAAGGCGGCCAACTTTTTCTTTTATTTATGGAGGAGCTGCTTCCTTTGGCAATCGATGAACATTTCTAAGAAAAACAATTTTGAGATTCACTGAACAAACCCAGAATTTTAGCGCCAACATCAACATGCTGAAATGTTATCTGTAAACTGACAGGATCTTCCTTTTTGGTCGATGCAACAAAGGGAAGGGTGCTGAATGATTGTGAATGAAAATCATTTTATCGAACTTCCTGCACTACATTCCTTCTCTTACTGATCCAACGGCTTTTGTTCTATCAACGCAATGTGAATTTACATCGTCCACGACAAGCAGCTATTCTGTGAATGTTGGAAATCGATGCTATCATTGCTTAGCAAAATTTCCACTATGGTCAATTGCTTCTTTTCGTTTTCAACAAAGTAGCGGATTGCATTTAAATCAGGTTATGCCAGTCCGCTTTTCTTTCAAGTTTCTCTCGTGACGTCGACAAGCGAAAAAAAATGTGATCGGTGATGGAATTGGGCCATCAGTCAGTCAGACAGCCAGCCAAGAACCGGCCCAGCCTGGCAATTTTTTTTTCTGTGTCTCTGTCTTTTATCTGTTCAAAGTATGCCAAATCAACACAACTTTTCGCAAGGAGACTCATCCAACATTCTAGATTCGTATGAATCAACAGAAAATGCGCTGATGGATTCTTTCAAGGCTGCGGCTTTGAAAGTCACAACTTTGTACAAAGACTCCTTAGTACAAAATCGAAAAGCGTACGCAGCAGGCTATCAGCAAGCGCTTCAAGATCTGTACGGATTCATCACCTCCCATCCAGGTGTTAGTGTTCGCAATCATCAAAATGAACAAAGTTTGGCACCGATCGAGCAAGGTCTTGTCCCGGTTGAAGATTTACTCAATTTTGCTAGAAGTAAAAATGCGCAATTGACCTACGAGATTCGAGGTGCTAACCCAAGTGTGGAGGAACCGATGAACCAGGAATCACAAGCAAACACATCTACTGCACATCAACGATTTGACGGACCACGATCTGCACCACCACCAGCACCACAACCGGCCAGTGCCGCACCTCAACCCACCAGTACAGAATTTTTTACTTCGCCTAGCCCGCAGCAACAGCAACAATCCTCCACTGACACTGCCACAGCAAAAAGTTCATTCAATCCCTTTCAGATAGATCCCAATACTCAATTCACCTTTACCGTTCCATCGGATGTTTCGACGACGATGCGGCCTACGTACACAGACTCGATGTCTTTGGACAATCAAGATGTTGCCATGGATGGCCTCAAGCGACGATTCGTTACCCCCGAGTTCACCTTCATGGGTCGTCCATTCAATATTAACATAGATAATGGTCATGAACCACCATTCAAGCGGGTTCGACCAAAGCGAGATGATTGATGCCAACAACTGCCGGTCAAGTTACCATAGGGGTAATTCTTACCATTGGTGCATTAGACTTGACGTATTCATTGCCCCCCCCTCCCTATTCACGAGACTAATTCCTCCTGTATGTTTGCACCTAGATGCAACATTAACATTTTCCATGACGCAGATACCATGATGCTGTTTTTATTTTTTTTGGCTGCCTTTCACCCCCACTTGTAAACTTTTTCTCTCTGTCTTGCACGGCGTTGCAATTTTCCCCTCTACTTCCTTGTATATCCTTTGATGTTACTTTTTCTGGTGTGGATCATCATGATGGATGATCATTGTGAAAATAAATGGACTCGGCAGGTTTGGTTTCGTTTTGCCTGCACCTTTTACAAATTCTTTTTCAACGTCCGTTTCAGCTTTAGTTTCATATGTAATGTGCCATTTCATTTACCGGTGGTGGTTTTTGATTTTATACGTGTTCAGATAGCAATATATACAGTGCATCTTGGAAACAAGCACACTTGCTTTTCGTTGTCGTCGTATCCAAGTCACAGTTTTCGTCACCAAATGTAATCTGTTTGGGATTGTTCGTACAATTAATGTTTCCATGTAATTGTGCATAAGTCCTATATTATCTATTCAAAAGAGAAGCCCTTTTACGTACCCGAGCATCTCGTGGTCTTTGCAACGGTCCCATGAGCTCGGTGCAGCACTGCAATGCCATCTTGTCGCTCCTTCAGCTTTTGAGGCTTCCGGAGGAGTGTTTTCTTTTTCAACTTATTGATAAGTTTTGCAGATATCATTGTCATAGCATGATGGATACTCTTATCACAATAGGATTTTTATTCAAAAGAGTTCAACGGCGCATTGGCAACATGGGTTGGATTTAGGCTGACCGTCTATATGGGGCAGTCCCATTCGTAAAATTAATGCGCTCGGTTTGAAGTCGGTGACCAGTTTGGCAGGGCCTAATTGAACGCATTTTCCATGCCAGGTACAATATCTACAGCCTTATACCGTACTGTCCAACATCTAATAACCTTCACTTGAAGATTCAACAAAGCGACTTGTGATCGCGTCCGTTTGGGCGGTCGTACTGCTGGGATTACCATTATGGTGGAAGACTACAGCGGTCTACCGCGCACAATTGCCGTTTTCACAAATAGATTCCTGGGCAGAACGCAAGGTATGCGTTGCTACTTGTCTGAACGCTCCATTTCACCGCATTGACCTCATCCCATTCACAGGCCTGTCAGCTTAGCTTTCCGTCAACGTTTGTCATACACCTGGCCAGCATTGCTGACGGCGAACCTCAGGCACACAATCGTCCACTTGACTTTGCAGTCATACAGGAGACAATCACCTCACACGTCAATAATAGACTTGCTTCGACCAATGCGAGAGAGTGCGTGGAATTTCCGCTTCATGTCAATATCCAGAATTGGCCTATCACATCTGATATGAAGAGTAAGTATTCTGGATGCCACCTACCTAGTTAGATCCCCGCCTAATCTATTTGGATACAGATTTACTTCATCATATAGAACCATCAAATAGCAAGCAGGTCATTGGTAAATACGATATATTCATTGCTCCCCAGTTACCAGCCCCTACGACCAGCAAATTAGCTCATGTCCAGCTTGGAGATGATCGAAGTATTATCTTAACGCTTAGAGAATGGACATCATGTGAGTGCGTTGACTGGCCATATTCTATACTAATATCATTTTCTAACGGACAGCTATAGCTGACATAGAAGAGGTGTCTTCAGCCGTCATTACGGCTATCTTAAAGGGTGAACGCGAAAGAGTACGAAGTCTTGCTTGTGATAGCGAACTAACTGAACGAGTAAGTTTGGTTTCAAATGGGGTTGAAAGAGATGTAGGCAGGATACTGAACCCCGTTTTTCGTGATTTAGTCGAATTTGGATGGAGCTAGAACAATGAAGTTCTCACCTACCTATCAAATGACCTTCAGTCTGATGAACGGTAATCCTGATAGCTTGCAAGTAGATTGGGATATCGAAGCTGCAGTCAACAGTAAGACACTTATCATGAGATAGCCATGGATGTATGTGTCGAATGTGCCTAACTTTCTGTTCTTCCTTAGCCTATTTGAAGCCATTCATATCGGAAGTCTCGCTAGTGTCAAATTTCACTGTGGACTCGCAAATCCAACACTATGCTGACCTGGCGGTTACCCCTCAATTTATGGAGCGACAGAAGTTACCATCGTACTATTATTTGACTCCACAAACTCTTCCCCATTTCATTAATTCGGCAGAGTGGAATCTAGGTAAGCATCCATATAATAGCTAACTTCTTCAACTAGACTAACATAACAACTCGACAATGTAGCTTCTGCCATATCCTCGTATCCTACCATCAATTTCATTCTCTATATACCAGCTGCGGACAAAACTCCATTGCGGATACATGATGATAAAGGTGAGGGCGTGTTATGAAAGTACATCCGTTACATGGTGGCACATATTCCTGATGCATTTTTCGAACTTTAGGTCAGCCACTCAGAAGTAATGCATTTCTGATTCCACGCTGGGGAGGCATTGCTATCAAGAACCCCCCAAAAGCAGCTTCAGGTAAACTCGAATTCAGCAAAGAAGACCTGAAACCCTTCATGGAGATATTTGTCGCTCAACTTCGTGGCCTCATTGGCATACATGACCTCAAAAAGACAATGAGCTCTCTGGTAAGTTGCAATGCAGGATTTTCCCACTTTTGCCAGGACTTGAACTGATTGCGGACCACCCACAGGAATCATCTTACGAAATTTCATTGGCGCCTACACCCCAGACGGCTGTTACTGTGATTGAAATGGACGCCGTGGTGAAGCAGCGTATTGCAGAGAATGTGGTAAATAGCATTGCGACCTTAAAATCGTTGGCACAGTTGGTGATGGATATACCCAACATGGTTGTTCTTGATCACATAAGAACAGAGGTTTGTAACGATGCAATTTTGAGCTTCTGCTGTATCGTAAGCTAATCATCTGTGAAAAAAAAAAGGTTCAATTATCACTCGACTCGTTGAATCAAGCTTGTCAAGCGCTGCAGCAAGAGGATTATTTGAAGGCATTACAACACTCCATTCATGCTATAGAGAGATCTGAAAAGGCGTTTTTCGACCCAACGATGGTTTCCATGCTGTACTTTCCCGATGAGCACAAGTATGCCATATACATGCCGCTCTTTGTCCCAGTCTCTGTGCCGCTGATCATGGCCGTCATCAAGCAACTAAAAGAGTACAAAAAGGAAAAGCGTGAACAGAAAGTTAAAGCAGAATAGCGCAATCGTCCGTACTTGCACAAAACATCAATAAAGCCAATTCGTTTGCATCATTCGTAAAAGAAGGAGTATTCCTCTTATGATGAAATATAGCTCATAATAGGCACTCGACAACACGTAGAGCCGAGATGGAGGATATCCTGTCTGTGCGAGTCATCAGCCAATGACGGCAGCTGCCAAAATGCCCCACGTCTGAAACAGTCTCCGACTGTAACTTGGTTTTAAACAAAAAAGCTACTGAAACTTTTGCTGCGCTTATTACAAAAATGTTTACCAACAAGGTTAGGTAGCATAAAGATACGCTGAATGGTTGGAAAAACAAAAATAAAAAACCACAAAAAAGTAAAGCTGGTCACCTTCGCCCGTCAATGCACTTGTTAAGCACCCAGGCGGCTTCCAACAGCAAATTATCGGGGTGCGACGAAAAAGGAAGTGTGACTGGCATGTCGTCATTCATCTCAAGGTGTTCTCCAAAACAATAAAACCAGCTCGCTAATCTCATTACAACTCTCATAGCTTATTACTACAATGGGGGACGAACAAAAGAAATCTGAAGTTGAACTCCAGCGCCTGGACGAATTTGTGAAGCAAGCACCGTCTGGAGACTACAACATTGACCAAGAAAAGCAGAGGATCTGCCGTCAATTAGGCAGTGGACAAGAAAAGTGCGTTCAGTTGAACCTTGAAGGTAGAGTGTTGTTTTATTCTTTCTTACTATGGGAGGAAAGGCATACCTAGGTTGCGGTTCATGGTACCGTTTGGTGGCGTATAGCAGATGGGGGTAGGTAGTGGATCAAACAGCAGTTAATAACACGCACTGGCCGTTTTTCTAGCTACCGAGATGTTCTCACAAATGCAAAAGCTGGGCTTTTTCTGCGCATTGCCCATGGATCCTACCAAGACTCATATGGAGTGCAAACATGTATCTAGAGTTTGATTTCTCCATCATACCAGGTCCGCTGGCCATTCACATCTGTTTCAATGCCACTCTCTCACTCTGATTCGAATTAGAAGAGCTCTTCCAATGTAATTAAATTCGAAAAATGTTATAGACCATGTTTTAAAAAAAGAAATTAAGAAAACCCACAATGCGAGGAAGCCAGTTTGGGTCATTTTTGACATTATGGTACACCTACTGCTTCCATCGCTCTCGCTCGCCTTTCGACCGATGTAATAGTTACCATGAAGGAAATTCAATCCGTATAGAAGCTTGCACCCAAATGTAAAGTTGGTCTATCTAATAGTATGTCGAGGAGCATGTCAATATTTCACTTTCGGCTTTGAGCTGCATGACCGTGGAAAAATTTTGGGAGCGTCAGGCACCCTGCAGGCAGAGAATTTTGGCAGACTACTAATATGCATGTAAAAAGAGACCTATCTCAACTACGGTTATTGAAATGTGCTGAGTATGATACCCTTATCTCGATGCACCGACAGAAGGGATGGAGGAATATCGTGGGTTGAATTGGCTGGCTGGCGAAAATAGAAGCGTGGACGACCCCACAAAAAAAACAAAAACACTGACTAAGGGCAATTTCACGGGGAGTGAAAACTTGCCAATACTTAATGGCCTGGACTGGGTGAGAAAATATACGCTTCAGAGTTTTGTTCTCGCTCGCTATTCTTCAGCATGCCAAATGCACCTACTCGCTCCACCGTTGCGCGGTTAATGACTTTGTTGCAGTCGTCCGCCAAAGCCTGTCCTTGCCATTCCCACGCACATTCACACCACCACCACCCCAGCACCACAACTGCCTCCTTCAATAGCCTGTTGCAGTATGGCAGACAGTATGCTAGTGCTCAGGATCCATCACAGCAAAAGGAATATGCCTTTGAGATGGCGGCTAGTAACATCCGTTTTGGAGAAGGTGTAACAAGGTAACCATGGCGATGGTTGACAAGGTTGTCAGCCAGTAAAATAAAGGGGCAATTGACTAACTAAACGTGATTTTTTTTTCTTATAAACAGTGAAGTTGGCGCAGATTTGAATAATCTGAAGGCCAAAAAGGTTGCGGTTTTTACTGATCCTAAGGTAAAGAAAAAATTGCACATCATCATCATCATCATCGTGGTCTGCAGCGCAAATAAACTGAGTCATTGTGTTATGATCTTTCTATATCGATTGTAGATTGCCAAACTTCATCCATTGAAGGCAGTTGTCGAGTCACTTGAACGCAACAAGGTCAACTATGTGATCTATGATAATGTCAGAGTTGAACCTACTGATATCAGGTAAGGCGCTTTCACCCATTGGTCATGGACGGAGAAAGAAAAAAAGAACAAACTCAAAACTGATCATGCGCTTGCGAAAAAATCTAAAAAAGTTTCAAACAAGCTATTGAGTTCTCCAAGACCCACAATCCAGATGCATTTGTTGCAGTTGGAGGCGGCTCAGTTATTGATACAACCAAAGCTGCCAACCTGTATACGGCTTATCCTGATGCTGACTTCCTTGACTTTGTCAATGCTCCCATTGGTAAAGGCAGACCGGTTGACAAACCCTTGAAGCCACTGATTGCTAGTAAGTATTGGGGGGGGCTTCTTTGTTGTCTGCATATTTATTTCCAAGACATTCGACCTAATTGTCATGAAATTACAGTTCCTACTACAGCTGGAACAGGTTCTGAAACGACCGGTACGGCTATCTTTGATTACGTTCCGCTCCATTTCAAGACTGGTATTGCTCATAGAGCTCTCAAGCCTCTGCTGGGTATTGTGGATCCGTTGAATACCCGTTCCATGCCCACACAAGTGCATACTGCTAGTGGTCTGGATGTACTGTGGTAAGTACATGCATTCGCGCCACAACCTGGCTCCATTAAAGACATATTTGACCAATTAATGTGCGGTTTTTTTAATTTGACCAGCCATGCTCTGGAGTCATACACCGCTCTACCCTACAGTGAGCGAACTCCGCGTCCTCAGAACCCACTGAACCGACCTGCGTACCAAGGATCCAATCCCATCAGCGACGTTTGGTCTCTTCATGCTTTGAAGATGGTTGTAGAATATTTGCCCCGTGCCGTCAAGAATCCAGATGACCACGAGGCCCAAAAGCAGATGCTACTCGCTGCAACCTTTGCTGGTACATATTGCATTATTGCACTCCGGTTTGTTAGTAACCCCGTTCGTGGGTCACCCCTAGCCACTAAATTAACATAATTGTTCATTTTGTTCCTTAGGTATTGGATTTGGAAATGCAGGTGTACATCTTTGTCACGGGTTAAGTTATCCTATCAGTGGTTTGAACAAGTCCTACAAGCATCCCGACTACGATGTTGATTATCCTATCGTGGTAAGCATTGAACGACCTGCATCCTGCCGTCGATATCACCCCTACTGAAGTCTCTCCTTTCTAGCCTCACGGTATCTCTGTCGCTCTTACAGCACCTTCCGTATTCCGATTTACAGGTGCACTATGCCCAGATCGGCACATTGATGCAGCGGTAGCCTTTGGCGTAGATAGATCGTCTATCAAACAGTCTACTGCTGGTCACGTTCTGTCGGAGCGGTTGACTCGTTTCTTGGAAGACCTTAATGTGCCAAATGGTTTATCTGCATTGGGATTTTCATCCTCAGATATTGGCGACCTTGTGAAGGGAACTCTACCGCAAGAACGTGTCACTAAACTCTCCCCCGGTGGCGCTCCTGGAGAAGAAGAACTTGCTTCTATCTTTGAAAGCTCCATGACCAACTATTAAAATTGGATTCTGAATGTTCGATGCTTGTGAATAAACACTATGACGACTCACCTTAAGGAAAACCTCGTGCTTGCTAGAAAACAAAAAAGCGATAGCCCATTATAGTGAATGACGTTTCCCAATATTATGTTTGGGTCACCTGTACCCAATCAAATGTGGCTCATGTGTTATCCCACCAATAATTAGTAGTTTTCCTTATCAGGTAATCGGTAGTCAAACTGAAAAAATTATTAAAAAAGGCTATCCAAGAAATCCCATTCTGTCAAAAAAATTAGAGCTTTTCCTTCCCAAAGTCATTGAGACTAGTTTTCTCAATGTCAACCATCTACATCGACAAACCTACTCCACCCGCCGGTGTTCGTATCAAAAATGCCATCAAGGGTACTCCTCGTGCTGCCAAGAACTACTTTACGCATCTGTTGCCCATTGTGCATTGGCTGCCAAAGTATAATCTTCAATGGCTGGCTGGCGATCTCGTCTGTGGCATCACCGTTGGTGCAGTGATTGTGCCGCAATCCATGGCTTATGGTATGTTTCAATGTCGCTGTCTTCTTGTTTGCTCATGGATGGCGTGCTTTAGGGCTGCTTTTTTCCCTTGTATACCGATTTGTGCGACAAACTCTAATATTCAAAGTTTCTCAACCTTAACTAAAAAATCCCTCGCTAACCACTGCCCGTTTTTTTTTTTTTTCAATCTCCTTAGCCAAAATTGCTGGCCTGCCTCCTCAATTCGGTCTCTATTCAAGCTTCGTCGGTGTAGTGATCTACTGTTTGTTTGCCACCTCAAAGGATATCTCCATCGGTATGTTCTAAATAATGCGCGTGCAGGCAGTAATATGCCATTTCATAGGCGCTCATCACATGTCCACCACCCGCAGGAACTACCGCCATTATGTCGCTCCTCGTCAGTCAGATTATTTCTTCAGTCATGGCAGAAACCGCTGACTACACCGCTCCTCAGATTGCCATCACCTTGGCTTTGTTTGGCGGCTTTATTGTGTTTTTTATTGGTATCATACGGCTTGGTTTACTGGTCGACTTTATTTGTCAGCCTACCATCACTGGATTCATGGCTGGCAGTGCACTGACCATTATTATCAATCAATCGAATCAAATTTTTGGTATCAGCGGCATTGACACCCATCAGGCCCCTTATCTGGTATTCGGCAAGACACTAGCTGGTCTAGGTCGAACTCAAGTCGATGCAGCTTTTGGTCTCGGATCCCTCGTCTTTCTTTATGGTGTCAAATTTCTATGCGCCAAATGCAGCCAGCGGTACCCCAACCATGCTCGAAAATTTTTCTACGTCAATGTTGCCAGAAATGCCGTATTGGTGATTTTCACAACCCTTCTGTCGTACCTTATTACCATGCACCAGACCACCAGCCCTTTCCACGTTTTGGGTCCCGTTCCAGCTGGTTTCCAAGGCATGGAGGTCCCGGTCATCAACACTCACCTGTTGTCACTGATTTATACAAAATTGCCCAGTGTTGTTGTCTTGTTGATTATGGAACACGTTGCCATTGCAAAGAGTTTGGGCAAGATGACAGATTACAAAAGTAAGTTTATTTGATACTCAATGGGTTGGAGCGCCTTCCCAACGAAGAGCACAATGTGTTCTGTTCATTCCAACCCATTGGCTGCTGCATAGTGTCACTGTTTCATCCAATGCTAACCTGCATGAATTTTTTTTCTCTCCTATAGTTGATGTCGATCAAGAGATTATCTCAATTGGACTGACCAACATCATTGCTTCCTTTTTCTCGGCATATCCTTCCACTGGATCGTTCTCAAGATCGGCCGTTATGTCTAAATCGGGAGCCCGCACTCCGCTGGTTGGTCTCTTTGTTGCGGTTATCGTTGTTTTGGCTCTCTATGCGTTGACCCCTGCTTTCTATTACATCCCGACCGCTGCCCTCGCCGCGGTCATTATTCATGCTGTCTCCGATCTCATTGCAGGACCATCGGTCTGGAAACGTCTTTGGTCCATTCATCCTTGGGAATTCATGATCTTCCTTACTGCCATGGTTATCACACTGTTTACGTCGGTCGATCTAGGCATTTATGTCCCCGTGGCTTTGTCACTTGTGATCCAGCTGTACCGCACCGCACGACCCGCATACTCCATACTTGGCAAGTTGGTTCTTCAACCATCTAAGCAGGCCACATCAGCTGGTCAAGAACAAACCGAAGCTGGAACCATGTACTATCCTATGTCCCATCCATCTCTCAAGAATAACCTGACCCAAATTGCACCTGGTATTATCGCTTTTCGACCAGAGGAGAGTCTCATCTTCCAAAATGCCTCATTCGTCTTTGATAAATTGACGGACGAGATTAAGCATACAACCAAGCGTGGCGTGGCTCTTCCCGAATCATATGGTGATCGAGCTTGGAATGAAGCAATGGGTGCTAAAGGTTCTGACGGAAACCTTCCTCTTCTCCGTGCTGTTGTCTTGGACTTGTCTGGCGTACATCAAATGGATTCCACTGGTACCGATGCATTGGTTGATACGGCTCGTCAAGCCGAACGCTATTCTGGCCAGACTTGTCGATGGCACTTTGTAGGTGTCGAAGCTGATACCGTTCGACGTGGGCTACTTGCCTGTGGATTTGGACTCCAGCGTCATGGCACTCAGACGTTCTTCATCAACGATTTTGTAAATATGGATGAAAAAGGTCACCGATACGGTGATGAAGGTTGTCTCAAGCGTATTTCCACGACCAATCTTAATTCTAACCCCAGCCGGTGGGACGCTAAAGAAAAGAACCCAGCCGAGACCATCACCACCGTTGAAGATATCGAAAAGGGCCTTCCAATTGAAACTGTTTCCGAGCAACACAATGGCGCCGGATCGTCATCCACCATGGATGATGCTGCAGTTAGCACGGATGATGCTAGCGAGTATTGCCGATGCCACCTTGGTAGCACACTCGACGTTGGTGAACCTATTGGTCTTGTCCGTGACAAATGGCCTTACTTCCATCAGACCATGGAAGAAGCTGTAGGATCTGCTGTTCTTGGTCTTTGAAAAATACCCCCCATCAAATGTGGATAGATGTTTGTCGATCTCCCGCTTTTTATACCCTGCCCACCCCACCTCTCCTTCCAACAGACCTTTCCATGGCTCGTGTTGTGATTGTAAAGATTTCTTTGTCTTGTCTTCCCTACTTGTTCTGTATCAATGAAAAATTTCCGTTTATATCATTTCACTCTATTCAATATATCTCTGTTATCCGATTTTTCTTATTCCAATCAATTGATCATGTCAAAAGTCACCATTTGTTGTGTTGTTGTTTCAAGTAAGTTAACTCTCTCAAAGTAACATCAATTCCGCAAAAAATTGAGTTAGCTGAACCGAGAACACGTGATGAGCGGTTGCAAAATTTCCCAATATTTGCCAGGAGCTGATTCGTGAGGTTGCATGATCTTTAGTGAGAGAGAGAGAAAAAAATCAGCAATGTCTGAACAGCCCTCTCCCAAGCTAGTCGCCACCGTTACGGAAGAAACGGCGTCAGACACCTGTTGCAAGATCGTGTCAGCAATAGCCCGCGAGGCCGGTTTCACGTCGACATACCAATCATCCTTATACGCCTTGTCCGATGTTTTGGCATTGTGTACGCTACATTTCAACCCTTTAACGCTACTGAATATAGGCTCACATATTAATTGCAACTTTATAGATATAGAGAAACTTTTCAACCTCTCTCATGCATACGCTGAACTCGGCAATCGAACCAAACCCAACTTCAATGATATAGCTCGCGGCTTGGAGGAAGCAGGACTTCGTCTTTCCGATTTCGAGGAATACTTGAACGGGTTGAAGGATCAAGGAATAATATGTATGTAGATGGAACTTGATCTTGAAGCCATCCGTTCTTTTTTCAAATCCGTTCATCCTATTTTATTGCAGCCAATATCTCACCAGATGAACTACAGCCTTTACCTTCAGGCGAGACCACCGTTGAGCCCGTGCCTGACTTCTTACCTTCCGACAATGAAGATGACGACGAAGATCGGCCTGATGAAGTAGATGATAGCACTTCAGCACCCTATGTACCACCACACATGCCCAGATTTCCTAGCCGCCACTCGTTCAAGCAAACACCTGTAAGTCCAACGAGCAGAATGATGTAATGTTAGTCGTTGCACCCTCAACTGACTCTTTCTGTGTAGGTTTACGTAGGACGGCCAGAAGATCAGCAAACTGTCAGAGAATTGACGTCTCAGCAGTCGCGGTTAGTGGAAGATAACTTGAAGCGTTTCAATACCGCCATGGAGTCGCATGTTTTGCAGAAATCCGCGGCCCAAGTATCCAACGCCACCAAGCCAATTGCACCTATTGTCAGCTATCATACAGTTAAGCAACGACGAAGGCGTTTGACAGAATTAGGAGTGTCAGGATTGACTAAAGTGGATACCCCGACCAACATGGGAACTCTTAATGATGCTGACGCTTTTGTGAAGCGAAGACGAGTGAGCGATGTCAGTGGATAAAAAGACAGGCTGCTCAGCTCTTTATGTACAGATAATATGATATCCAACCAGGTGTCTCCTTTTCACCATAGAAAAAGTAATAAAAATGAAAAAATATATAAACTGCAGGCAGGCAAATGTTTGAACAGGACTCCGCATTGAGGGAGACAAAATTGGTGCTTTATGTACAAATAGACAGACAGGTAGGATAACTACTAAAGCAAAAATGACCTAGGAGAAGTGGACACCGGTGACTTTGTTGTTATCGTCCACCTTAACATTCATACGCTCTGGGCGGAAGTCCATGGTGACAAAGCTATCGCGCTTCACTACGCGAAAAGGCTGCGGTAAGTTCCTGGTCAAGAAGATCTGTCAATTCAGTCAGTTAGAGTGATGATCATAACACAGCTAAAAAAAAAAAAGCAAATCCATCACTCACTTGGTCTTCACCTAACTCTGTCTCTTGGTTATCGTTTATAAGAGTTTTGCCAATCAGCTTGTCCTGCCACAACTGAGCTTCTTCGTTTGGCTGACCGCCGCCGCCGCCTTGCATTCTGTTAGCCTTTTGTTGCAGCTGCTGAAATGGATTCATGATAGAAAGTGGTTTATAGTGATATTTTTGCGAAAGAGGAGTGAAGCGCGATGAGCATTGTCTTGGCACAACCATAAGCCAAGGAAAACATAGACTACGCCCCAATAAGGCAGCTCCCTTTTCAAAAACGTGACTTGCGGTTGGGTCGGTTTAAACGTTGGAGCTCATTTTCACGAAAGCGTCGTTCAAGCTGTCTTCATTCCTCCGCCCAGATGGAACCCAGTCGCCATAGCCGTGCTTCCACGGATGAGAACATGCTTCTGTTCTCCATGCGAGACCGGTTATCTGGAGATTCGAAACCCACCCGAGACTCTTCCGTCAGCTCAACCGATTCTCTGACCAACAGCAGAAAAACCGCTAATGAGCAGTTTGATGCCGAAGATTTCGAATCATTCTCTGAAGATGCGACGCTTGTGCAAGCTGCTCAGCAGTCGCCGTTCATTCCACCTGCTGATGTTTCCACCAAACTGACGTCCAAACAGTCGAATTTGAGGAGACAGGGAATGAACCTGTTTTGGATCCTTGCGTGGTATGTGTGTTGAGCCAAAGGCAGCGACCCCGAGAATATGAAGCCTTATCGTCACTCATCATGTTCTCCATCTCTTTAGGTACTTGGTATGAATCTATCTCTAATTTTTTTTTTGGGGGGGGTTTGGGCCGATACCTCTGCCGCCGCTAACTGAACCTTCAACTCTAATTAGTTTGCCACGTTTCTATCGGTGTATAACAAATGGATGTTTTCCGAGAAGTACTACAACTTCCAATTTCCATTGTTTGTGACAAGCATGCATATGCTCGTGCAATTTACGTTTGCCGGCCTCACTTTGGCGGTTCTTCCAAAGTTCAAGCCCAAGAAACGTCCCTCCGCCAAAAATTATCTGTAAGTGGTACGCACTTTTGACAAACACCCCGTCTCGATTGTCTATCTCATGTAGCTCCCATGCAGCTACAAGGTCTGTCCGTGTGCAGCTGCCACCAGTCTTGACATTGGTCTTTCCAACCTGTCTTTGAAGACAATCACATTGTCCTTTTATAGTGAGTGCCTTTTATAGTTGTCCTCCACATTCTCGCCTTTGTTCTAACCTTAATTCTTCTAAGCCATGTGTAAATCTTCCACGCTGGCATTTGTGCTGATATTTGCTTTTCTGTTCAAACTCGAACAGCCAAGACTCAAATTGATTGCCATCATTGTTATCATCACCGCTGGTGTTGTGTTAATGGTGTCCGATGAAACAGACTTTGTGGTGGTGGGGTACGTAACATGATTGACTGAGTGGAAGTGAATTCGCATTGGAATCTCATCCTCTGTATTCCTAGATTCGCGGAAGTCATGGCTGGTGCTGTACTAGGAGGTCTGCGCTGGTCGCTTACGGAAATCCTCCTCAGAAAAGAAAGTCTTGGATTAAGTAATCCTTGTGCATCCATATTTTACCTTGCTCCCGTCCAAGGTATCATCTTGATTGTCATATCCGGGTTTGTTGAAGGTTATTTCAACATCTTTCAAAGCGCATTTTTCCTCACGTTTAAAGAGGGCTTGCATACGGTAAATGAACGTTTTATTATACACTCGGTTCGCCCATCACAGAAATAATAACTAACTGATTTCGTAGATGTTGGTCATGCTATTTGGCGGTGTCTTAGCGTTCCTAATGATTATGTCCGAATTCTTCCTTATCAAGCGGACCTCTGTTCTTACCCTGAGTGTTTGTGGTATTTTCAAAGTACATATCCATTAGCATGCATGACCACCTCCTTCCCAATGACTCACATATTGTCTCGTTTAGGAAGTGGCCACCATTACTGTTTCCGCCATTGTCTTTGGGGACAAGCTCACAGTGGTTAACATCATGGGCTTGTGCGTCACGTTGTTCGGTATTGCACTCTACAATTGGATGAAGTTCCATGAACGCCGACCAGAGCAGATTGAGTTGGGTCAAGAAGTGGATGCCGGATACGAGGAACCACGACGAACACAGATGTATAGTCAAGTGGCGGAGAGCACACCAATGCTACTAGTCGACAACGAGTATCATGATGAAGAGGACTCGGAAAGCGATATAGAACTTGAAGCAAATAGACATACAGCAGCAGCACATTGATGATGCATCCGCTTTAATACATTGTAGCCACCCCTATCATAGTTTATATTTTTTGGTGTTTCCCACCATCCATAAATGATACCCTTTGCAACATCACTATCTCGTTATAAATCTTTCATTTGGATAATGTGAAAGAGGTTCAGGCAACAACTTTAACAAAAAGAAATGTTTATTTTATACAACTTGGCCCACATGTTCAAGCGCCATTTGTTGCCGCAAGTACGATGTGAAAATGAAAAACTATTTACTACCAGTGGCTAACAAAGCTTTCGCGGAAGCGGTTTCGGCCGCAGCTATGCCGGCAGAACCAGTGCAATAAGAATTCTTGATGAAGGCGCGACAGCACTTGTAACCCCATTTACCATCAGCCCAGAACGAACCCCAGACGGAAGTATGATTATTGATGTATACTGGGAACAAGAAAACAAAAAAGTTAGATGTGTGATGATTTTTCTGGTGGAAAAAAAAAGGAACCTGTGTCCAACTTACCATCTTCTTCATATTTTGACCGGGCAACAGCTCGCTCTTGACCCTTGACAATCTTTCCTGTTCTTGAGTATTCTACATAGTTTTCCGATTGGGCAAGCAACAGTTCCGTAGGTGGACGCTGAAGATGCTCTTCACCGCCATATTTGGCCAAGATACCTTCCTTGTTCGTATCGCGGACCTTCTCCTTTTGCTGCTCAAATTGCTTGTGAAGGAGAGCAAGCTGTGTTGGATTGGCTTGCAAATGGACTTCATTACCACGATTAGCGGCTTGCCAGGCAAACATCTGTGCTTTAGCCATGTTGGGAGCATCACCAGAGTAACGGGCAAAATTGTCACCGGCAAAGTTTGTATCATTGGGATCCTTGTCTTGCAGAGGATTCTCACGCATTGAGCGCGTTTTGGGATCATAGTATGCTGAGTTAACATCCAAATTAATAAGGTATTTTGCAGTGTCTTCACGGATACTGTTGGATAGAGAGGTTTAGAAGAAGTGGAGGATAGGTTTTTCAGTATGGAAAATGAAAATGCTTACCGTAAGTTTCTAATGGTTGTTCGGGTTTTGGTATTGACGTGTTGTCCAGGCATATCAGCTTGATCGGCGTATTTATCGTCATCTTCACCATATTCATCATCAGAGAACCCTTCGTTCGCTCCTTCGATTTTCTTTGCCTCTTCAGAGCTAACCAGACCTTGCTTATCTAACTCTTGTGCCTTGATCTTCTTTCTCTCTTCCTCTACCCGCTCGTATTCTTCAATGACTTTGTCGTGCTCTTTGGGATCGTATCCATTCCAGCGATCTCGCTTTTCGTCCCAATCAAGGTCAACTTCCTGAACAATTTCGTCGGCTTGAATGTCCTTTCCCGTCCACCGTGCACCTTTCTTTCGCGGTCGTTCAACACAATCTCTTGTGGCATGTGTCGATGCACCGCAATTCTCACAGGCACCTTTGCGGAATTTAGTAGCGGCTGGTCCCTACAGTGCGGAAAGAAAAAAGTTTCAATAAAATGGGCAATTCGTCGAAAGAACACAACCACGACATCAACCTACAGCTCTCTGTCCTCTTGCGTACCATCCTCCATCATCGAACTTTCTTCCAAGTTTTTTGGTAGGAGCTTGTTGATGCTTCAATCCAGGCTTTCCAGTATCGATATACCATGGAGCCTTCAACATGAACTGTGGAGTATGGGGATTGATCTCTCTTCCCTCTTCATCAACTTCGGCAGGCGCTGTTCCTGCCTTTCTGGCGGCATCGAGATCTTTCTGTCGTCTGTACTCCTCCTTGGACAGCTTCTGACTAGCTGCTAATAAGCCTGACATGTGTACAAATGGTAAATGGTTGCTGAGCGACGAGGATCTTTCTGGGTGGAAGGGAAAAATTTCAGAACCACCAGAAATAGTGTAGTCATGTGATTGGATCAGAGTCGAAACACTTTGACGTATTAACGAATATTTTTTATTTACGTATACTTGGTCATCACTCCATATCATTTTTCACTCTAATCTTCGTATTGATCAAGCTATAAGATGGAAACCAATTTGACAGTCAGATAATGGAGTTTTGTAATATGATGGCTTCAACGCTATAGGCATTTTTACTTACCGAAAGGGTCAGAACTCGACTACTGTTAATCTCCTGGTCTCGGTAGATACCCACTAGACTTTCTGCCTTTTGATAAAGCATGCTCTTAAGGGAGATAACGATGAATTGGAATTTATCATTAGAGTGTTCCCGAATGTATGTGGCAATTTTGGAGACGTTAGCATTGTCAAGGGCTGCATCTACTTCGTCCAGCACAAAGAAGGGTGATGGATGATAACTGGATGATATCTATGTTAATAAACACTTGTTTGTGCGTCATCTTGATGGCTATAAACCTTACCTGTGGATAGCAAAGAGCAAAGCTAAAGCAGCCATAGTCTTTTCGCCTCCAGAAAGCTGTTCCATATCACGGAACCGTTTCATGGGTGGCATAGCATGGTATCGAATGCCTTCCAAATAGGGTTCCTCGTTGTCCTCGAGACTCAGGTACGCTGTTCCACCAAGTGGATGATTGGCACTCTTGGTGAGATCTTTATAGACCTGATCGATCTTTTCGGAGATATGGTTATAAGCGTCCATGAAAAGGTTGTATCTGTAAACGCATTGCCAGTCAATATCATGTCGGTATATCATTCCTTTGTCTACCGTCGGATATTCACCTCTTCTGCTTCACAGTGTTGAACTTCTCTTTAGCACGCTTAGCAGCCTTTCTCGCCTTTTCAAACTGGTCCTCTGTGTCTTTCAGTCGATTCTCGACTCCTTCCAAACGATCTACTGCTTTGAGATTAGGTGCCATCTTATCCAATTGCTCGGAGAGATCTCGGATAGTGGTCTGGAACTCCTCTTCAATGGATGAATCGTCGTTGTCCTTCAAATTACGACTGAGCGCTGAATAGTCGACGGCAATCGACCAGTTCGAGGACAACACTGACATTTGCGTAGATATTTGGGAAGGTTCATCTAGATCCATGGCTTCACTATTATTCTAAACACCAGCAAGCACCACAGGTTAAATCAATCACATTACCCATGTAGAACATATATCATACGATGGTCTATTTACCTCACTGTCATCCATAGGTACGTCTTCCATACTACCTTGGTTAAGGGGTATATTGATTTCCTCCAGTTTGCACTTTCTAAAGATGGACATACGCTCGGCATGCAGTTTTTCAATAGCAGTCTCCATATCTGTAACAACCTTCATCATCTTGTCAACCTCTTGGCCTTTTTGGGAGAGAGATTTCCGCTGTTCTTCAACCAGCTTTTCTTGAGCCTCTTCCTTGGCTTTAAGCTCAGACACTTGATTTTCCACCCTTGTCATGTTATCTTGAATCTTTTGAAGTTTGCCAAGATATTCATCCTTTTCGAGGTTCTTGGATTCGATTTCAGAAGCATCAGCAGCAAGTGTTTGCTCGAGCCTAGAAAAGCGTTGTTGAAGCTCTTCAAGCTGTTGTCTCTCGAATAACAATTGATTCTCGACTTTGGATCGCTGTGTCGTTAGGTTCAACTGCTTTTCTCTGAGCTCTTGGGCACCACGCACCTGGCTGCTCTCGTATTCGCGAATGTTAGCCACTTGAATACGAGAACAGAAGTCGCTGAAGACTTCGTCTTCAATACGAATAATGTGATCTTCAAGTTCAGCAATGGTTTGGTGTTGTCTTTGAAGCTCATCCTTTGCCTGTTTACACAAGTATCAGTACGCTGAGTATGACAAACAAACCATATGGTAGGCTATATAGTTACCTGTTGATATGGTATATCTTCTGTGGCTATGTGGTTGTTCAAGTGAGTCAATTCATCACGGATACCGGAAAGTTTGTTTTGCGTTCCTTTCTATAAGGCGATTTAATTAGCAGCTTGTTGATTACGGAGGCTGTGACAGGTGTACATACCAATTCATCATGCAAGAAGTTAAGCTTGGTCTCAAGGGCTTCGCATTCAGCCCTGGCATTCTCTTCGGCAGAACCGCGTCGCTTCTTCTTGCTGAGCTCATTCAACTGTGCAAGCAAGTTGTCCCGAGTTTGCTTAAGGCCTTTAAAAAAAATAAAGAAATTGGATTACTAGCAGGTCCAAGTTCACTACTATTGCCAGCAATATCTTACCTTCCAGTTCTCGTTCCTCCCATTGCTTTGCTGCAGATACACCTTCACCTCCAGTGATTAAGCCATTCTTATGAATGACAGTACCATCCAAAGTTACAGCTAAAATGGTACCCATTAGCACACAGGACGAAATTGAATGCACTACCAAATTCGAAAGCTTTACCTTTCACTTCTTGGTTTCTTTCGTAACAAATGTGCTTTGCAATGGCAAGGGTATCGCACACCAAGGCATTACCACAGGCATACATCAATGCACGTTCGTACTGGTCTTCGTACTCGAGGACATCCACAGCCAATTTGGCGCCTTTGGCAAAGGTGCGGAAGCGATCCTCCACCACAGGAGCAACAATGGTATCGATGGGAATAAAGGTAGCGTGACCGGCGCGTTGGTCTCGCATGTATTGGATGCAGTCCATAGCTGTTTTTTCGTTGTCAACCACAACAGCATCGATGTTTCGACCAAGGACAATGGATATCGCCAAGTCGTACTTGCGTTGAGTGGGCTTGCATAGATCAGCCAATCTGCCATGGAATCCAGGATATATTTGTTTCAAATTTTGCAAACATTCTTTGAATCGAGTTTCTTTCTCTGACTCATTTTTGTCAATTCTCGCTTGCATCAACCGATGAAGTGTCTCTTGCAGTTTATCATTCAAATCTTGCTCCTTTTCACTAGCGACATCAATGTCAATCATGGTTTATCAGTATACAAACGATGATAAGCATAGACTTACAGTATTTGCGATTGCTCATTGCGCAAAGCTTCAAGTTCCATCTTTCTAACCTCGAGGTCTTTGGTAGTATTGCTGATCTGAACTTCAACATCATGGCCGTATTGAATTAACACCTGTTCATCGTCGCCAAGGTGAGTTTGGCGATCTCTGAGCTCAGTAAGCTTTTCTTCCATTCGGAGAGTCATTTCTTGATTAGACTTGAACTGTCGCTGAAGGTTAGAAAGCTGGTGCTTCTCATAAACAGCCTGGTTGCTGACTTGCTGCTTTCTGTAAAATTTAGATGTTCATTATGTGAGTGTTGAAATTTGTTGAACGAAAAGCACCATGCTGATATGTACCTTGCATTGTATTCTTCAATTTGACTGGCATCCAACACAGGGCCAGACTTTGAGACACTTTCTTGTAGCTTGACATTGCATTCTTGGAGAACTGCATTCAATCTGGTAAGATCATCTTCGAGTCCATTCACAATGGTATTCTATTGAAAGCTATAATCAGTATATTGCATACTTGAAATTATGAACATGCAGGTCACGACTTACTTGATGTTCAAAATCCTTGGCCACTCGAGCATGATTTTCAGTGGTCTGCTGTACTTTCTTCGTCAAATGGGCAATTTTTTCGTCAAGGCTAATACCGTTTAGGCGCTGTGAAGGGAAAAGAGTCAATATTGCGAACGATTGAACAGAAGCTGCATATGACCTAGATCTTACGTAGTGCTGCAGATCTTTTTCAGATGTCTTGATACTGAGCTCTTTCTTGATACGCTCTCTGTGAAGAACAGCCAATTGTTTTCTAGCAGTTTTGAAATCTTCATCGACGGATGACTACGAGATGTAAAGATTGGTCAGATTCTATCTGATGATCAGCATGGAGTAAGATATTCAAAACAGTACCTGATCTGAGTATGCAGTATTAATTTCAACACGTTTCTCCTCTGCTTCAGTCTCACAGTCGTCAATCTTCTTCTCGACATGGAAAAGTTTCCAGAGCAGGAAGCGTACGATTTGTTCCTTCATATCGTCGCCCAATTGCTCATATCTCTCTGCTTCGGCTTTTTGTTCTTGATACTGCTTAATCTCTGAGTTAATGCCTCTTTTCTTATTGAAGCTAAAAGCACTATTTTCGATTGCGCGATCTTGTTCGATTTTCAATTTGTCATAGTCGCCCTTATATTCCAAAGACCTACGTAAATTGAATGTGAGTTCAGAGGACAAGGTCATTGGCGCAGTACAAAAGTAGGAATCCTACCCGCTAATATGCTCGATCAACAAAGTCAGGTCTTTTGGGCTCTGACTTGCGACGTGCTCAACATCGCCTTGGAAAACTAAGAAATTACGAGCGCGAATGAGGATATTCTCCTTTTCCAGTGCAGCATTATAGGCCGTCCAAAGCACAACTTTGTCATTAATCTTATACTCGGATTGACCTCTGGAATTGACACTTCTGAGAAAGTGAATTTCCCGGCCACCGTCTTCTTGATACACGATTTTGACATGGGCTTTTCGTCTGGTTTCTCGCTGCGAAAGCCCTTCCGCTTCTTGGTCGTCATGCATAGCCCCTCCACGGTAGATGAAGTCCTTGAGATTTTGGGACCGAAGCTGCATAGAGTTGACGCCCAAGACAAAGGAAATGGCATCCATAAGGTTAGATTTACCTAATTGTGGTGAACACGTTAAAAAGGTTGAAATGCCAACACGTCAAGGTACAAAACGTATTGCGTACCAGCTCCATTTGGACCAATGACACATGAGAAATTATGAAAAGGACCAATGACTTGGTGTCCTTTGTAGGATTTGAAATTGTCGAGCTCAAGGCGAATGATTCTCCCCATTCTTGAACCGGACAAAGATTTCGAGACAAGGAACGTCGGCCACGCTGTAAAAAATAAAATAACCTTCTGCGCGTCGCGACGCGCCTGCCAATCTATCATATGTGACCGCGAAATTCACGTGGACAGAATTGCACTGATCGGGCAAGCATTCAAAAAAAAAAAAAAAAACGTAGTGAATGAGATCTCGACTGATCTTAGCTCTAATGGGATTCAGAAGAAAAGGAGGACGCTCAAAAGGCTCTAACAGTGCTGGTGTAAGTTGAGGAATATTCACCGTTTCTAAGACAATAAATACTGCATTCTAACGTTGCGAATCAGAAAAAGAGACCAGATTCAACCTACTCTGACAAGCCAAAGCAAGGCGATCGCCTCGACTACCCGAATATTGAAAAGCACAACCAAGCTTTCTACGACTATTACAAGGTATTCACTTTACTGAAAATGCAGTCATGATAAAGCTCGTCAAACTCAACCAATGCAATATAGAAACAAGGAATCCTTTCGGACGAAGAATTTAAGCAGTTTTATGAAGTCTTAGCAACTCCACTTCCGACCACGTTCCGCATCACTGGCAGCAGAGAGTGAGTATCTTAATTTTAAGTGGAATTTCATACCAAACATTTTACTTACCATTTTTGCAGAACTGCCCTTGAGCTTCGTGAGCAGATCAAGAACCGTTATGTTCCTTCATTGCAGAACGTCGAAATCGATGGAGATATCATTCAGCCTCCCCAGCCTTTGAACTGGTACCCTGATGATCTTGGTTGGCATTTCAAGGTGTCGAGAGGTGTTCTTCGTAAATCTCCCGATATCAATGCCTTCCACAAATTTATTGTTGCTGAAACAGAAATCGTAAGTGAACATTACCTTGCGAAGTTGTCCGATACCACGCCCATCCTAAGCTGTTACGTTATAGGGTAACATCAGTCGCCAAGAAGCTGTCAGTATGATTCCACCGCTTTTGCTCAAGGTCCAGCCTCATCAATGGGTACGTTACATTTCCATGCTGCCATGCTACCTGCTATGTAGTAACTCGTTTTGTAGGTTTTGGATATGTGCGCCGCTCCTGGATCAAAGACCGCTCAAATCATTGAAGCTGTGCATGCTAATGACAGACAAAATGAAATTCCAAGTAAGTCTCATTATAGATGGTATGATCTATGGACTTGATACTCATTCCCACTAACTCAATCATCACAGCTGGACTTGTCATTGCAAATGACGCAGACTACAAGCGCAGCCATATGCTTGTCCATCAATGCCGTCGTCTTGCCAGTCCTTGCTTTGTAGCCACCCACCATGATGCAACTCATTTCCCCAATATCCACCTGAAGGTACGTAATCTACACCTCGTTTCTTAACATGGTATTGTTCAAATGGTTTAACTTTGTTTTTGGTAGGACGATAACGGCCGTGTATATAAAATGCAATTCGATAGAGTTCTATGCGATGTTCCATGCAGTGGTGACGGTACCTTCCGAAAGAACGAAACTATCTGGCGTAACTGGGGCATTGGTGGAGGTATTGGATTGCACCCGTATGTACAACCTCATTCCGCTGAAATTTTACATCTTGCATCACTTATTCATCCTTACTGTAATTTTATTTTTTATCAGTACCCAAGTCCAGATTTTCCTTCGTGGTGCTCAGTTGACCAAGGTCGGAGGACGAATCGTATACTCTACTTGTTCGTTCAATCCTATTGAGAACGAAGCTGTTGTTGCTGAAGTTCTCAATTTGAGTAACGGAGCCTTGCAACTCCAAGACGTTTCAAATGAACTTGTTGGTTTGAAGCGCAAGCCTGGTATGAAGACTTGGAAGGTAAAAGAAGAAAAAAAGTATAGCGCGTTAGAAGGTGCATTTTAGCTTACTTTAGCGTTGTTCATAGGTCATGACCAAGGAAGGACTATGGATCGACTCACCGGAGGACATCCCCGAACAGCGAAAACGTTCAAGATATCCTCGCAGCATGTTCCCACCTGCCAATGTGGATGAATTGCCCCTTGAACGCTGGTAAGTGTGATATGACGATAACATTGCTATGCTACCGCGTCAGAATGCTAACCGATGACCAGCGTGAGAATCTACCCCCATGAACAGGATACTGGTGGTTTCTTTGTTGCTGTATTTGAGAAGGTGTCCCCTATGACTGGAGCCGACACTGCCTACATCGCTCATATGAAGGGCGATGCGATAGTCAAAGAGGAAGAGCTCATTGAAAGCGAAAAGAAAGATGAAGAATTGTTGGATAACGTTGGTCCAAAGGAAGATGAAAGCAGCACTGCTCCCGGTACACCAGAAGTTAAGGAGGATGTCGAAGTTCCCAGCAAACGAGCCGCCGCTGAAGGCGAAGAGTCTGCGGCCAAGCCAAACAAGAAAGCCAAGGAATCCGAAGGTCTCAAGGAAGCACCTTTTGAACTTATGTCTCCTGACAGCGAAGATGTGGTTGAGGCAACGTAAGTGCAAGAGAATCCCGATCACGAAATATGTTAAAACTTTCTTTTTTAAAACAAAAAAAATAACCTGCAATTCTCTAGTGAATTTTATGGCCTTGCTTCTAATTTCCCCAAGACACAATTCTTGTTGCGCTCAATGGAAGGTAACTCCAGAAACCGTACCATCTACTTCGTATCAGAATCAGTCAAGACCATCTTGAGCCAACCAGCCGCCAAGAGACTGCGGTTAGTCAATACTGGTGTCAAGGTCTTTGTTCGTCAAGGATCACCTATGGATGGCGGTTGTCCTCTACGCATCTCATCGGACGGTCTTTCGTTGATCTCCCCCTACGTATCGGAAAAACGATGCTTCGATCTATCTACTGACGAACTCAGAGCGGTGGTCACCAAAGCGTTCCCCTTGATTGAAGAATTTGACGAACAGAGCAGAGAACGTCTCACTGCCCTTGGTATGCTGTTTCACATTTATGTCATACATAAGATTGCATATATGTCGGCTCTAACACTAAACGTAATTTTAGAACCAGGATGCTGTATTTTCCGTTATGACACCAGCAAGCTAAGCGACAGCAAGTAAGTGTTTTCTACAGGGGGTTTTGCTTTTGGGGGATACGGTGTATAAATAGTAGTGCTACGACGACTGACCTTGAACACGGCATGGATCTAACGGTATAATCGCGTTCTAGGCAACGTGGCTTGTGGTTGCCCTTAACCTTACCGGTCTGGAAAGCTCGGGTATCGTTCAACCTGCTGTTAAACAAGAAGGAAAAGAAGTCACTTAGTTTGCGGCTATTTGACGTTGAGCCGGAACATGCACCCGCTGAACTACAGCATAAACAAATGGCCAATATGAATAAGAGCGATGAAGCTAGTAGCGTATAACCGTCACATATAGAGTAAAAAAAAATGAACTTCCGATTGTCAATACAATACGCTTCTTCTAATTTTGAAGCTTTATATTTTTTTCATTCACCGTTTGGCAAATCGTGAAGAGTTTAAAAGTTTTGGCAAATCTGTTTTTGGTTGCAGCGTGAACTTTCAACCAATCATGTTGCCACTGAATTCCCCGTTAGGAAATCCCTGCTTAAACTCGTCCCCCACCGCACGACCGTGGTTCCAGAGCTTTTCTGAGAGAATATAAAAAGACAAGCAGACTTTCCGGCGGCACCAGTTTATTCTCTTTCCACTTCATCAAACATGAGCGCTCCTTCCGCCTTCACTAGTGCTCAGTTGCCTACATTGTCCAGCCTTATGCCCAAGGCTGCCAAGCTTTCCGGCGAAGTTTCCGCATCCCCCGCAAATGGAAAGACCGTCCCTCAAGAATCCTCTCAACCTGAGTGCCGTACCACCCATGAATACAAGATTCCTGATGAGAACACGAAGAACTACTCTGTTCTATTGAACAAGAAGGACGACCTTCAAATGGTCGAAATCCCTGTTCCTAAGCCTGCCAAGGGCGAAGTGCAAGTCCAGGTCAAGGCTACCGGAATTTGCGGTTCGGATGTTCACACCTGGAAGTATGGAGCTATTGGTATCTTTGAGGTCACTGATCCTATTATCCTTGGCCATGAGAGTATGGGTATTGTCACCGAAGTCGGAGAGGGCGTCAGTACTCTCAAGGTTGGCGACCGTGTTGCCATTGAGGCGTAAGTATAACGCAAACAGAGTTCCGGTTAGCAACATAAAGTTAGGCCTGAATACTAACTAGATTTACGTACCCCACATATTAGAGGAATTCCATGCTCTGAGTGTGAGCAGTGTATGTCCGGTCATTACAACCTCTGCCCTGACGTTGTTTTCAAGTCCACTCCCCCTCATCACGGTGTATTGGCCAACTACATTACCCACCCTGCTAGATGGTTGTACAAGCTTCCCGATAGCGTGTCAGATGAAGAGGGTGCTTTGTTGGAACCTCTTTCTGTCGCTATTGCCGCCTGTGAACGTGTTGGTGTTCGGTTTGGAAAGTCTTTGCTCATCTGTGGCAGTGGACCTATTGGATTGATCGTGTTGGCTGTTGCAAAGGCCATTGGTGTTGGCCCCATTATCATCACCGATATGCAAGAGTCTCGTCTCGAGTATGCTCGCCAAATGGGTGCAGACTACGTCTACAAGGTTGACCCCACCAAGAAGGATGTAGAGGCAGCAAAGGAAATCCGTTCTATGCTAGGATCTGCTCCTGACTACAGTTTAGAATGTACCGGTGTAGAGAGCTCTTTCCGCTCAGCTATCATGGCCACCCGTGATGGAGGATGTTGCTGTATGGTGGGTGTTGGCAAGAATGACCAACTTTTGCCAGTCAACAGCTTTGCCATGCGAGAAGTTGACATCAAAGGTCTTTTCCGTTACCATCACACATATCCTACTGCTGTCTCACTGGTTGCTAGCGGTAAAATTGATATCAAGCATTTGGTCACCCATCGTTTTGATTTTAAGGAAGCCCTTGAGGCTTTCGAGATTGCTTCAGACTACCGAACAGGCGCCATTAAGGTGCAGATTTTCAATTAATCAGGTCGTGCGAACATTCAATCTGTTTTGATATTCCCTTGTAAAAAAAGCCATATTGGCGCTAGCCCCATTTTACTTCTTTTCCCTAAAGTCATTTGTATCTAATGCTCTGTTATTTCTCTATTCTCACTCAAAACAAGTAAAAAATCCTCCATATATCTATGTTTCCAAATCGCACATACCACATCCAATTCTCCGCAAAGGGGTTGACTTTCCATTCACCGCGCGGAGCACTCATTTTGACGAATTTGTTACATAATTTCCAGCAACTTCTGTCTGCGCCAACTGACGTTTTTTTTTTTTGGGGGGGGAAGTCATTGACGGGAACAAAAACCTTGTTCAATATTGTGGGGAAAAATGCTCTAACGCATGCAAACAAAGCAGATGCATCAGCTGACATTGTAAATCTCTTCAAACCGGTCTGCTATTAAGCTTACGGCAACCTTCGATGCCACCCCGCGGAAAGGATGTTTGGCCAACCTTTTTTTTTCCTTGCTCAGCAAAACCGTACTCTCCGATTTTGTCTCCTATACTGCTAATCCCCTTTACATCTGTATTCATTTATTTTACTATTTTACAGAATGTGTGCAGTTCAACTTCATAATAAGAACCTACTTCACTCATCGTAATCTTAAATCTATGTCACGGACAATAGCGCTGATCTTTGTGTGCTTTTGGACGTTGAAGCTCGTTGACGGTACGCGAATTTTATCCGATTTTGTTTACAGGTCACACAATGATAGAATTTTGTCCAACCATTTTTCCTTAACAGCCTCAGGCGGATTCTCTACCCAATGCTGGCTAGCTTTGAACGGGTAATTTTACATTATACTGGTGTCTAGACTCCCAAATGTGAAAATCAATTGTTAATTGCAGTAAACGTTTTGCGCTTTTCCGCATTAAATTCTCATCTTTAGAAAGCAAAACCTTCTGTACGATGGACAATGCCTTTCAATCAATGGACCCGTCTCCACTGGAGGATGGAAAACTTTCCAACCTGACGATTGGATATACTATCCCCAACAACAAGTCAACATTACTTTGAACCCTAATGAAATCTCAGTCGATACAGGTAACAGAAGGGAAAGGAGGATTAGGTAATGCATTTGATGAGCAGCAATGGCTGATCGTGTTGCACAACAAACAGTCGGTGGATGCTGTGCTCCAAATCCTAGGAAACAATTCAGCGACGTCTACTATGATGACGGTAGTACCTACAACCGTACAGGCGATAAGATTGTTGGTGTCGTCGATGCTCCCATGATTCAAAATGTCCATGTTCAAGGATGGTATATGCAAAGCTTCGTAGATAATGCTTCTGTGGTATGGTTATGCAGGGAGTGATGCTGAAAACGTATAACTTGAAACCTGTTAACTAACTTACCAATTGTACGTGGCATAGAATTTGACCCTACTACCTTCTATGAATATTCCTGACAAAGGATCTATCGTTATTGGTGTTGTAATCGATCGTGCGATGATCATTACCTATCAATTTCTAGATGGTAACAATATACGTATTGCTAATCGCTCAAGCGGAGTGCTAAGAAATCAGTTTGACATCCCGGATATCACTCTGCCGCCAAGAACTCGAACAATCGTAAGCTACCATTGACTCAATGTATGGCAATGAAATTAAATCATCACCTCACAGAGCTGCTCTAGCAAATTGCTATCTACTCCTCACAGACCAACCCAATGTGTTTTGGCTATATCTACGCAGGCATCTATGTTGACATGGCACGGACTACAGTTGTCAAGTTCTGCGCAGTCGGTAAGATTATGCAAGTGCTCTAACATACGCACGACAGCTCATTCACTCTTTCTCTCCTTTAGCTGCGTCTCATCTCCAATATGTAGCACTAGGCAACTTTATATTAATTCCTGCGGTCTTCGGCACTCTAAAAACCTTTTCGAACTTCCGCTTTCCAGAGTAAGACCTCTGTACCTGTAGTTATTAGAATAGAGGGGGTCACCACCTAAACAACACTTGTATTGCTTCAAAGCCCATTGCGTTTCTTGTGCCGTCAACCATGCCATCCGATTCTGCTTTGCTTATTCGTTATGATTGGTAAATAGAGATCATATCTTTTACCAACTCATTTCTTGTCAATGCTCGTTTTGATCTTTCTTATTGCAACACAGGTTCTTTCATCTTCAATGGTGCCTGGAACTTACTCCGATCACAATCCAATATGTTTGATTCCTGGCTACCTCGTGCAATGAAAATTATTGGTACAGTCACTGAATTTGAGCTGATGTTTAATAGTGCCATATCTTATTTTTTTCTATTGCAGAGCTATTCATTTCGTTTTTCCTCTACGCTGTCCTATTTTATCCGGTGAGAACGCTTAAAAATTGTGCCACTCAAAAGCTAGGATCTAATCACAATCAAGGCAGGCATTTCTGTGCTTTCATGCCAGCCATAGATCACGCATGGCCAATATCTTTGGGTTCTATACCTCGATATGTCTACTCTGCCTACGTATTTCCATCGACTTGCCATTCTTTGCTATAACGTATGCAAGAGAAAGTGGATTTCTGGCACTGAACGTTCTGATGGCCCTAGTCACACTTGCAGCATTTTTAGCGACCGTCATATACTTTTTGCGAATGGCCATACGATTTGAAGAATGCATAATTTGCCAATCTCGCTGTCTTGACCCTGGAAACGCCGAGGAAGAATATGTCAAAGAATTATTGAGAAAACAGTATAGTGTAGAGGTACCGCAAGATTGTATTCAGGAAGCAGGTGGCCATACAATTGAAGAAGTGTTAACATCACATCATCCCTTCTCAGCGCAAGACTAGTATCAGCCTTTTACAGCGAATAAACAGCTATATAAGAGAAATTCCTACGTGGCACAGAGAGACTAAATGCCGAACAAAGCTGCCGATTTTACAGCGGTGCAAGAGATATATTGCTAATCAATTTGGATTGCATGAACATATTAGGTACGAATGCCGATAAAACTACATTTATTTAGTATTCGCATGAAATACTTAAGATGTCCTTTCAGAATTCCTCTGGTTGTGAAGGCCTCTTTGGCGCTGCTTATATATTGTCAATGCCAGCTGGTATGCCAGTAAAAGCATATCCTGAAGTAGAGTCCACAGCGGAAAGAACTAATCTCAAACAATTTTTTACAGATTGTTATTCTTATGACAGAACTCCTCGGTGTAGGTGGATTCGTTCCGCGTCAAATTTGCTCTGTTGCTCCTTTTGCCGCAAAACTGCAATCAAACTCTGACCCCATGCGTTTCGCTCTCGAATCATTTACCTTAATGCAAGTATCAATCTATGTGGCCGGATTTGGAGCTGGAATATGTAAGCTACCACCTTGTTTTACTTAACTCAGGACGTATAACTGATATTGCCATAAAGTCGCCATATTCTTCAGCCTAGGCATCCTGCGACGATTTACTAAGGATATTGTTCGCATTCGCAAAGGTGATTACAATATTTTCAAAGGAAAGAAAAACAACGAGTAAGTAGCCTTTCGTAATATGGGAGTGTTGGAATGCCCATGTATACTGACTTCTTGAATAGCACAATCTTAGATGATGCCATTCGGTTCTTTGGAGCTTGCGTTGGATTTGGTACGATGAAACGAAGATCTGTAAAGCAAAGGTTTGATGGCTAATGCTTTGGACTCACATTGTTTTTAGGATTCACCGGCACCTTATATTTCATGGTGGAGATTGCATTGATTGGGACTGCGGTCACTTTGCTTATTGAACTGGATAGATTTAGGCACATCATCTTCCATCGAGTTACCGTCGGAATTTGGTTCTCTTCCTTCTTCGTATCTTTGGTAGTCCAACTGATTCAAAGACGTATTACTCTTCTGATCTTTGTGGAAAACGGTACTAGGATGGCAGTACAAAATCGCGCTCCCTTCATGCACTACTGTTACTTCCTCATGTTCACAGCCATGACTAGGGCCCTGACATCGTACTTGCTTCGAAGTATCAAGCTAATATTCAGATATCCTATTTTCTCTATTCGAGTGGACCGTAACGCTGAAACATGGGGTGTTCGTCGTGGTGATGCTGGTTTTGCTGCCTACTGTGGTATGGTAAGTTGAAAGGGTACATCCTAGTACAGCGTTTACCAAATATAACGTGTTATTGATTCATCGTTAGGTTCTGGCTGAACACGAATATAACAACCCAATCATTCTATCTTTCATTCAGTCTTTGGTTCAGAAAGAGGCAGCCAGTGACCAGTTGGTCAAGAAATGTAGAAGGCACCAAGCGAAGTTTAGTGACATTGAAAGCAGTAATATGGACAAGGGACCAAAGGAAGCAGTCAAATCCAAAGCGCAAAAACGTGCACGCACTCGCTGGTTTCTTTTTGTAACGCTGATAAATAATCCTACGTTGCTGAAAGCCCGTATGGCTTCTCAAAAAGTAGTATTGAAGGAGGCAGAAATGTCATAGTCGAGTACGGCGGAAGAACAATCTGTCAAAAATTGAGCGGGGTCAATAAAGCTTTTTTTTCATGTGAGAGCCGAATTTCATTCTGTCATGTGATATGCCAGTTGTAAGAAAAAGCTTCCCCGCATTTGCGTATGAGTAAGACGCTTTATTACCAGAACCTGTCTTTTGTCGCAAACCATGCCTAAGCAGGTGTCAATACAGTTGACCCCATTACGCTCTTGTCTCGCTAATCTTCCAGCTGCTTGGTCAAACTCGCTGCTTGACCAAAAAAAGGTACGTTGGCTGTTATGGATACTACTTGAATACCACTTGCGAGACTACCCCACTCATTCTACCGGTATTGTTCTGTCGTATCCCTAGGTTCCGCAAAATGTCATTCTGGAGTTGAGTTGGAAGGAAGGAGAGAATACAAAGAAGGTCTACGTGGGATGGTCTGGAGAGTCTTCCAAGGTGCCTGCTAATGCTCCTTTTGTGAATGGAGGAAAGCCGATGGACATCTTGGAACTGGATCCACAATTCGCACAGGCCATCGGAATAACAAACGGCCAGAAGGTAAGGATTTTGAGGTGTTTATAAGATGATGATGAGATCCATTTTTTAAAGATTTTGCTCTCAAGGTATCCGTCGATTTCTGTCGCAACACACCTGAGTGCGACACCGTCAATGTAGAGCCTTACACGGAAGACGATTGGGAAATATTGGTATGTGCACAATTGAGGTCGTGGTTGTCATCAGACGGCGTGATATTCACTAGGAGTGTTATAGGAATTACATGCTGGCTACGTGGAGGAGAATTTGCTAAGCCAGTTGCGAGTGGTATACCCTAATCAACTTATCACTATTTGGATCCACGGTCGCACGCTAGTGAGGTTACAAATTGGTAAGTTTGCAGCAAAAGCATGAAAAATGTAGCCGGTTGCAATGGACTAATCTATGCACCTCTTGTTCACTTTCCAAAAGGCGATATGAGTCCCAAGGTTCCTTATACGAAGCTTACCAACAATTCTGAAGTCATTGTGGCTCCAAAAGTGCGCAACACCAACCCCAGTGGATCAGATGAATCCACTGCTATCAATGATTTGAAGAAACAACAGACTTCACCACATGTCTGCCTTCGAACACTCCCCAAAAACTTCATCAAGCAATCTTGCGCTGGTATGGAAATCCATGTGCATCCCGATTCAGCTGAAGCTATCAAGGATTGTGTACATGTTCGAGTAACCAAAGTTATTCCTGCTTATGCTCAAAACGACAAGCAATCCAATACCCAGCAACAACCAGAGGATGAAAAGGAGAGCGATTCTTCATCTACTGAGAAGGCTAGAGCTACCTTTGCCAACGTAGTGCTTGACCGAACCGTTCCTGAAAGTCACGTCTACTTGGACCCAGTCACATGTACAACACTGGGCATCAAAGCTTACGATATTGTCAAGTATGTTAGAATAATGGGCTATCATGAGCATTTATATAATCTTTGCTAACAACTTATGTAATGGTGTAGGCTATCTGTGATCGCTATCAAGCCAATAACACCAACTAGCTTGATCGTCAGAAGCATCACATCAAAAGCAACAACTTCAAATCTAAAGCTCGGTTTAGGTGCAAAGTGAGTGCGAGACCATTTCATTTGGCTTTATAACATCAGATCTAACCACACGCTTTTCCACTTAATAGCCATAACGATGAGATAAAGGGTGCTGATTTGATCTCCTCAATTAAAGGTAAGTAACTAACTGGTGGTTTACAAATCTGAAGGTTTGGTCAGTCAGTTCATTTACCGTGCATCTATCAGGAAAACTTCTCGAAGGAACTGCCGACAGCATCGTCCTTACCAACAACTCTTGTTTATACATTGAAGATTCTGGGCTTGCCATGATACAATTTAATACGGCCAGAAAAGGCTTATTTGGTAGTAGCACACCACACATCAACGGGGTGGATGAAGAGCAGTATTGTGTGTTCTCAAGGAAGCAACTGGAAGGCTGCCAAGTCGAGCTAGGAAACGCACAATCATTGAAAAGTAACGAGCCGGAAACTAGCCCTGAAGTTCCGTCCGAGCTGGTCTTGGGTGGTGTTGAAGAAACATTCAATAAGATTTTCGATTATACAAAGACAACCGCCGTTAATAATTCACTCCGAGCTGCGCTATCTGTGCCTGGTAAGGGATACTTCAAAATGAATGCGCTCTATTTCAATAATATGGCTAATGAAGCCCCTGTATAGGTTCTGGAGGAGTCCTACTCACGGGATCGCATGGCTCAGGCAAAACGAGTATAGTAGACCAAGTGATTGACAAACTGAAGAATGATCGACATGCTTTGACATGTAAGTTTCTAATTGTTCCTACATCTCGTGCTATTTGGGTACCACTTGTGGTTTCATATGTCTGACCTCCCCCCCAATGTAATTTACGGCATATAGACTCTATAGAAATTAACTGTGCGGATGTGGCTGATGAGCGCGTTCCTGTCTTGAAAGATCAACTGCAAAAATGGTTTGACGAAGCAGCCTGGCACGCACCTTCTATCCTGTTCTTTGACGACATTGATAGACTTATACCTGCAGAAGTTGAGGTGAGTAGACGCGCATGCGATATCTTGAAAATTTATGGAAAAAAGTGACACCTACTCATTCTATTTATAACTGCCCATTTGACACAGCATGCAGACTCATTCAGAGCCAAACAATTGGCAGAAATATTTATGCATATTACCAAAACAATGACAAGCAGACACCCTATTGTTATTATCGCAACATCTCAGCAGCAACAATCCATCCATCCTTCTCTTGTCACCAATCACATTTTCAATCAATTGTTTCATCTGAATCCCCCTGGTAGGGATGAGCGCAAACAGGTACGGCTACAGTACATCCCCTGATGACCCTATTGATGAGAAAGTATCCCCAATGGACTAACTCATTTCAATCTAGATTTTGCATGCCATTATGTCTAGGGGGCCTGAGCGATTGAGCAAGAGCTTGGTAGGAATTGATTTGGTTTCAGTTGCGACGGAGACTGAAGGATATTTGGCAGCGGATCTCAAGGCTCTGATTGAAAGAGCCGTTCACGAAGGAGCAGTTCGAAGTATTAAGAAGCGTTTGAATAACTCAAGTGACGATGTTGACTCTGGCATAGATGTTGAAACTCCTCCCCATCCCTTTACACTTACACAAGAAGATTTCCAAACCGCCCAGGAAGGTTTTGTTCCGTCCTCTTTAAGAGGTGTCAAATTGCAAAGCTCTGGAGTCAACTGGGCTGATATTGGTGGTTTGAATGAAACAAGAAAAACGCTTTTGGAAACCTTGGAATGGCCTACCAAATACGCTTCCATCTTTGCTAATTGCCCGTTGAGATTGCGCTCAGGTTTACTTCTCTTCGGATATCCTGGATGTGGTAAAACCTTACTTGCATCGGCCGTTGCCAAAGAATGTGGCTTGAACTTTATCAGTGTCAAGGGACCTGAACTCCTCAACAAGTATATTGGCGCTAGTGAAAAGTCTGTTCGTGATCTATTTGAAAGAGCTCAAGCAGCACGGCCGTGTGTTCTCTTTTTTGATGAATTCGACTCCATTGCCCCAAGAAGAGGTCACGATAGCACTGGTGTCACTGACCGAGTGGTTAACCAAATGCTTACTCAAATGGATGGTGCCGAAGGATTGGACGGTGTATACGTACTAGCAGCCACAAGTAGACCTGATCTAATTGATCCAGCTCTTTTACGTCCCGGTCGTCTCGACAAAGCATTGCTTTGTGGCATGCCATCCATAGAAGAAAGACTTGAAATTCTTCATGCTCTGGGCAGAAAAATGACGCTGTCTGACAACGTCGATCTGAACCATTATGCAGAGCTAACGGAAGGCTTGTCTGGGGCTGATCTGCAAGCATTCCTGTACAATGCTCACTTGGAGTCTATCCATAGTGCCATTGCCATTGACTCGTTCGAACAACGCAGTAAAGGTTCCGATGAGCCACAAGAAACCAAAAGTTCTTTCCTTATGCTGGGCGGAAGCAATGAGCTGGAAAAGAAGGCCCCGCTTACCCTTGCAGAGAGAGGGCAAATAGAATCCCGATTGAATATGATCAAGAAAGCATATTCGGGCAGTTCATCCGCTGCCACTAACAAGATCTCACGCCAACAAGTCGAGCAACTAGAGGAAAAAAGACACGCAGCCGTCATCACTCTGGAGCACCTTAACAAGTCTCTTAAAAACACGCGACCTTCTATTACCATAGATGAACATAGACGTTTGAAGGCCATTTATGATGAATTTGTGACAGGTCGTACGGGAGAGCTGCCATCAGGAGAGGCTGCAAAAGGCATTGGGAAACGGACGACCTTGGGTTAGGGTGACAGGCAAAGCATGGCAAAGCAAGGCATTATCGGACCACTTTGTTCTAAAAATAGAATGCTCTGTGCCCGGGCCTTTTGAATTTTTTTTCTCTCCAAGCAATAAAAAAAAAAAAGGTACAAAAGCGTCTGCCCATTTTTCCCCTCCCACTTAGCTTTTCTTTCTTCATACCTCTTCCCTTTCAAATAAAACTTGCAACAGACATGGGTCGCAAAAAGATCAAGATTCAACGTATCGCTGATGAACGTAACCGACAGGTACATTGTTAGAAAAATTTCCTTGTGGATAAACGCTCCCCATTCTTACCCTTTATTTGTCAAATCGACAAAAGGTAACTTTTTTGAAGCGCAAACACGGCTTAATGAAGAAAGCCTATGAGCTCAGCGTGCTGTGCGATTGTGAAGTGGCTCTGATCATCTTCACAGCCAACGATAAGCTTGTTCAATACGGCAGCACAGACATTGACAAGACGTTGATGAAATACACCGAGGTATGTGATTGCTTGGCCCCAAAAAGCAATCTCAACAGACAACTAATCAAGGGCCATCCCCTGTCTTTCGTTTCAGTATTCATCTGAACCTCACGAAAGCAAACGCAATTCGGATGTAAGGCACCTTTTTTTTTTTTTTTTTTAATTTATTATGCGTTTTCTGTTGTCGAATATGACAGATTTTCAATGGCCGGTGCTTAACTAGTCTCACGACTTTTTCTCTTTCTCATTACAGTTCATCGGAGCTGAGCAGAATGTGCGAACGGATGATGAAGACGCTTCTGCGGAGCTGATGGAGTCTGATATTGATGGAAAACTTGAGCAGCAACCCCCACTGAAACATCAGTATTCACCTGCAGTATCCGATGCCACCATGATCCACCATCAACCACCCACCCCACCGATGTCTCAACACTCATCACCACTTCCACACTCCACTATGATCATGAATGGTCCTTCCGCATCTCGACAGCCTCAATACGGCATGACACAATCGATGCCACCTCCATCGTACGATGCGCCATATGTCCAATCAGTTCAGCAAGCTTCTCATAGGATGCCTGTAAGTGTATATACGAAAGTACCTGTTTGCTTTTGCATGAATTTAATTTCTAATTTGGTTGACCTCCTCCTGCTCCTTCTTCTCCCTAAAACCTTAGCCACATATGCAACAATACTATCAGATGCCGTCACAGGCCGAATATTCGTCTCCGCAGTTGCCACCCCCTCTTGTTGTCCAGTCACAGCAACAACATCAATACACGCGATTGCAGTATATACCTGACCCATCCATTCCAATTGCGGAGAACAATGGATCCCCTATGCCAAACGGCTTGTATGTTGACATGAATGCAAAGCATATGAGTCCTGTCAACAGGAGCCCTTATTTGCCAAGCCCAGCGGCAAACACGTCGGGACGGCCGCAATTGAAGGTTCAAATACCGTCAGACGTGAAAGACCATTCCACTCAGTCCGCCCAAAGGATGAATATGGGAGACCAGGGCAGCAACGACCACACTACGCCTTCATCCGCTCTACCTTCCCAGTTTGCTCAAAATTTACCCTCACCGTCGACGTTTTATCCTGAATTTTACCAACAAGGCGAATTGCCAAGCCCTTTGAATTACGGCACTCCAAACTCTGCCAAATCTTTCAATTGGCCAGCTCCGCCGCCCATGTCAGCACAATTACGCGAATATCGACCGTCACCGCTTGCCAAACCTGAGTAAGTTCCTCTCTTCTATAAGACATGTTTTATACCCTACGTTTCTCATTGTTTTTCTTTCCATCGCAGAGCTCCGGGAAAGCGCCATATGGATGGGGTGGATCAAAATATCATGTACAAGCGTGGCCGTGTTGCCTGAAAACGTCTTGCATTACCACTATGCGATCTCTTTTGTTTTTCTTGCTGTAAAATTATACTTCGCGCCATTCCTCGTGTAGAACTGACACATCCATTTTGTATATAAGTACCCTTTTTTCCTTTGCTCCGCCAGAATGCGTTACACAGTACTCTGGTAAGCAGAAACAACACCATCTCAAAACTAACAGCATAACCTTCATTCTTTTTTTTGTGCAATATCAGTGTTTGCTACTGTTTATGTTCCTAAACTCAACTATCTTTGCTTAATGTACATGCTTGGAATAAAAAAAAACTCCCCCTCAGTTTATCACTGACTGACCCTGTCTCGTGTCATCGCGTAAAATTTATGCAATTTGGTTTATTGTTGGTTTCAAATATGTACTATGGAGGATGGCGAGGCCTGCACACCTACTCGTCAAAAATGTTGCAGTTCCATTCTTCGCTGCCGGGGTCATTGTATCGGCGGTTGCGGGATCCAAGGCTGGACACGCTTTCGTAGTCCTCCTTTTCAAGAACAAAGTCTTGGAAGTTCTCGGTGATTCTGGAGGGTGTGACACTCTTGGGAATGACGGAGGTTCCATGCTGAACAGCCCATGAGATGCAAACTTGAGCAGGGGTCTTGCCGAGCTTGTTTGCAACGTTAGCGATGGCAGGGTCATCGACAGTACGGTCCTTGCCGTAGATGTTGTTACCGAGAGGGGAGTAGGCAGTAACGTGGATGTTCTCCTTGGCACAGAAGTCCAACAACTCCTGTTGGTGAAGAGCAGGGTGAAGCTCAACCTGAAGAGCAGCAGGGCGAATACGGCAGTTATCTAAAATGTGTTGGATCTTGGCAATGTTGAAGTTGGAAAGACCTAATCGCGGAGTCAGCTACGGACCGTTCAAACACGCTATAAACCACCCAACTGCTCACTTACCAATAGCCTTGACCAAACCAGCATCAACAAGCTCTTCCATGGCAGCCCAAGTCTTGAGAGGATCAACCTCTTCCAAGTCAACGTTACCATTCCTTCATAAACACAACGTTAGCGTCTGCGATTTGGTTGTCTGCCCTTAAACTTGGCCATGTACTTACTTTTGAGGGAACAAGTAGTCCTTGGCAGGAGTGACAGGGGTATCTTCAGGCTTGCCTACGGGCTAATTTCGTAAGTGAAGAGTTAGTATTCGCTCTTGCTCGAAAGGTTATTGGCAAAACAGACAGGTAGCTTACGGCAAAGGAAACGGGCCAGTGAACGAGGTAGAGATCAAGGTACTCCAACTGAAGAGCCTTCAAGGAAGCTTGAACAGCAGGCTTGACGTACTCGGGACGGTGGTGAGTGTTCCAGAGTTTGCTAGTGACGAAAACCTCTTCACGGGGGACCTTGGCCTCGGTGAAAGCTTGACCGACTTCGTGCTCGTTTTGATCTGCGGGTGGTCAAATTTAGAGGTCAGAGAATGACAAATGAGGCAATAGTACCATGTTAGGGTGTGGATAAATCCGAAACTTACAGATGTAGGCGCAATCGATGTGACGGTAGCCTAAGTCAATGACAGAAGGTAAGTACAAGATATTACGGCCGTAAGGGGACAAACGGGCAGAGCGGCTAGTGCTGTGGGCCCGAAAACGTTGAACCGTGACAGCCCAGCCAGCACCCTTTCCCCGAATCGCACATTGAACATACCGTTTTGCAGAGAGTAGAGGACGGCTTGACGAACCTTGTCGGGTTCAGAGAGCCAGGTACCAAGACCAACAGCAGGGATCTTAGCGCCAGTGTAAAGGGCTGACGTGAGAGAAATGAAGGTGAGTGCTAGTGTTTTATGGTTGTCAGTGTATTGAGCTGGCAGACACTTACTGAAAGTACGACCGAGAGACATAATGATGAAATGAAAAGGACAGTGAGAAAAAAAAAGAAGTTACCACTGAACTGGTGTATTTATATACAGGCTAGCTGATTGAAAGCAAGCCGTAAATCACAGTCGTTTGCTTTTTTGAATTTCCAGATTATCCGGAGTATTGAATGTCCCTTTTCTCCGGACACAAAAGTACTTTTCCCTTAAATGGCCAGCTTGAATAGCTTACAGGCTATTTACGAGAATCTTAGAGCCATATGATTTTTCACACACTCGCCGGTAGTCTTCTCATGTCAATGAAGTCTGTGACCATGAATCCTTTTTTTGACGACAAGCGATGTAAATTTTCGAAGAGACGAAGTTAAATATATAACCGCACGAGGGAACGTGTGCGTGCTCCGATGAGATAAAACAAATTCCGTCCCCAGGGACAGTGTCAAATTAGTGTGATAAAGTATAGTGAGGGGAAAGAGAGGTCCTAATTTTTCATTGTCAGAAGGAGATATTTCCGGCCACGCTGCCGGTGACGACATCTGCGCCCCAGCCTTAATGCTCTGCTTGCGGCCAACATACCTTCACTTATGAAGTGATCCTGGCCTGACTTTCGCCTTTGAGCTGGTCCTCATGTCAGCTAACAGTACCACAGCAAAACAAACTTCGGTTAGGACTTCAAAGTATAAGATTATGACGGGCTTTAAGGAACTAAATAAAAAGAATGGCTCCGAGCTTCCCGACTATTTTATATTAGGTGGGATGCAATGGCGTTTACCCTGAACCTTATTATGAAGCGCACGCAGGTTTAACAATGTGGTGTATTGAGTAGCAGAAGGTCACAAGAAATGATACACAATATGTCTTGACGGATGTGTGCTTATGACTATTGTATGCTTAGCATTACCAATACCAGCTCTCGAAATCTAGTGTCTATTGCATAAGGCAATCTTTAACAGCAAGTTCCGGCTGCTTAGGGTTACCACAACATGTTCTCTGACAGCGGCATGCCACTATAGTTTAAGCCACAGGAATCCAGATCTTCGAGCTCAAACACTTTATAAACGAACATTATATGTATTTGTATTGTATTGTAGTTCAGAAAACACGCACTTGTCTTTCAAGCTAGAAAAAATGATAAAGGAAGGTATACAGTAGGTTGATCATTGTCTCAGAGCACGTAGTCTCTCGTCTAGCTTATCGGCCTCAACATCCTTCTCTTCTTGCTTGTTCAATCCAGCAATGGAGGTGCCTGGAGCAAAGTTTCCAAACTCTTGGTTGAGTTCCAAACCATGCTCGTCAGCAACTTGTTGCATCAAGCCGTCTACTTCGGTTTGAGGTGTCGTCATGGTGGTGGTTCCTGCCATAGCCCCTTCCATGTATTCTGTTTGTACATCCAAATCCTCAAACTGCGATTCGAATTTATCCATCACCATTGAGATCTAGCCGCGCAGAGTGTCAACTAAAAACAGTCAACGTGCGATAAAGCTTCACAAGAGTCCTTACCTTCTCAAGATTCATTGATTGCATAGCTCTATCCATGCCTTTCACGACGTTCGCCATCGATCCAGTAACCTAATTCCCACTGCTATAAGTATTTGTAGTATCCCTGTTCATCGAGATCAGCACCACCTACCTGTTGCATTGTCACGGCTGTCTGCACTCGACTAGCCACGGCGTCAATTCTTGAGGATAACCGCAGCAAGTTGAGCGATTCGTTCTTCTTTCTTATAGCATTGGCGGCGTGAAGTCTAGCACCTTCCATGTTTCCCTTTTGAATTGCCTGCAACCCAAGGTACCTGCATTAGAACCTACAAATGAATCCAGGCTAGAATGAATTGAATCAGATGCTCACCGTTTTCAATTTGGTCTTCTCAGCATTTTCATCCTTAGTCGCTCTCTTCGATTGATTCAGTAGTTGCTTTGACGTAAACTGGTAAAAGCCAAGTGAATTGATCAGTTTTCACAGATCGCTGCCAACGCCACGGAATGCACAATAGGCCACCATTACCTTGAGCTGAAAAAGGTTATCTAGGATACGATATAACTGATAAGTCAAGGAACTGTATCGATAATGCACACACTAGTGATCGACATTTACTTTGTAGTTTGTTACTCATCGTGGAGGGATATCAGCAAGAGTAACAAAAGGTGTGCTTGGGACAAGTGACTTTTGAGGTTCGATGACGCCAAGAAAAGTGTCTTTATTGCCATATTTGTTCCGCACGCACGAAAAAAAAAACCTGGTACAAGCCGGTTGAAACCTCCACAGTCAAAATAATTATCATTTAAAGTACATTTATCCCTTCAAAGCCTGTAAATAAATGAAAATTTGAGTATCTACATATCTATTTTCAACGCAATGACCAATAACATACCTCTAGTCGCTTTTGCATCATATCTAACTCTGGTTCTTCCTCTTCTTCCTCTTCCTCTGTGACGAGTGGGTTCTGCAGATTTGCCACAGAAGATGCCTCGCCCATCGTCCCTATACATCACAACCATTAGATATTTATCAAGCCGTATAGTCATTCCAGAAATGGCAGACCATTACCTTCGGTGACCTGATATAACACCTTGTTCACTTCCTCGTCAGCCTCTTCTTCCAAATCCTCGTCGTCCATCATCTCAAAGGTGTCATTAATCATCTCATCCATGATCCCCGCCTATTGATGAAGTATTATTATCTTGAACCCCATTGATACTTGTATCCCTGTACGTACCCTGGTCATCTCCATTGACATTTCCTGCATTGTCTTGGCGATTTCAGGCAGCTTAACTAGCTGATTTACCAAGTTCATGACTTCTGCACTCTTTTGTAATGTTCCAGCAATTTTCAGTGTAGCTATAAACAAGTACAAATTTCTAATGAGTATCTTGTGCATTTTTCTGCAATTCCGTCCTATCATTTACCTAATTGGTGGTTAAGTTGCATGGATACAGAATTGAGCTGGGCTTTGCTTGTATGGAGTCGATCAACGTGTTTCCGAGATCTTATTAGTTCTTTTGCAAGTGATTTACAGCTCTTGACATCTCCACGTTTTGCTACAGCCTTTATGCCTTGTTTAACTTTTGCTTCTTCTCGTTCTATTTGACGAATCTGACGCTCTATGCCTCTGGTCTGCGCTCGAATCTCCTGCTGCCATTTGCGTACCTATATGCAATGAAGTTGAGAAATCGTGCAAGAGAACAATAGAATGGTTAACTAAATAAAATACATACGAGCTCTTCTGGGCTCTTTTTCCCAAAAAAACGCTGAATGCTGTTCACTGTGGACGCCATTGATCAAGGAGCTGGGATAGAATGGTGATATATGAGTGCACGCTTTCCCGCTCAAAATGGACGCAGTGTGATATGAGTTTTTACCGTAAAAAAAAAATTGGGAAAAATTCGTCCTACCATGCTCATTCCAGCATGATGTCCACAAAAATGAACTTTATATTTTCTATCCAAATAAAAAAGTCCAAAGCAACGATTATAACATATCCCGTTTCTAATCTAATCTTTCTAGCCTTCACCCATAGAAAAATGCGTCTCGAGTGAAATCGTCTTTCCAAGCATCAAAATTGGACAATGCGCAAATACATACGTTTTGTTGCCTTTTGCTCTTGCGTTGATATACTGCGCAAAAGCAGAGATAATAATCTCGAAAGACAAAAATTGAGCGTACAAAACTAATATGGCAACCATACAAGTATCTCTTCAAGTAGATAAAACAGTCTCTTGTAAGCAGAATCGGTAAATCTCACGATCGGCAGAGCGTATAAATTGAAGCGCGCGCAAAAGCATTGGTGTAACTTGTCCTTTTCCACCTCCACAGATACAACAGCCATGACTCAAGAAAGCAAACTGAAGAATAAGGTCGCCGTCGTTACAGGAGGATCTAAAGGAATTGGTAAAGCGCTTGTTACTGCACTCGTTGAGCAAGGAGCCAAGGTCGTTATTGGAGATATTTTAGTCAACGAAGGAGAAGAGCTAGCCAAAGCATTGAACAGCAAGTAAATGCAAAGTTTGAGAGTTATTGCTAGTTGGTAGCGTTCAATGCGACTTACCTGTTGGTATCGTAGGCAATCAGATAATATCGCAGTCTTCGTACGCACTGATGTGACATCCTGGGATGATAACAAGAAGCTGTTTGCAACGGCCGAGAAAGAGTTCGGTGGCGTCGATGTAAGCCGTTGTCGAAATATATTACCAAGCCATTACATTACAGGAACGTACTAACAATAGTAACCTTTACTTCTTTAGATCGCTTGCTTGAATGCAGGTATATCAGAGCACCCAGAGACTCTTTTTGGACCGCTTGAAGGTAATTGGCGACGGCAACCTAGCGACGTCTTCATTTTCATGTACTGAACTAAATTACAATAGGGGAATCCATGACATTGAAGATAAATTTAGATGGTGTGATTAAGGGTAAGTATGGCTAGCAAGTTGCAGTTGCATGTGTTGATATCTCTCATCCTCATTCCACCTTTCAGGCAACCGAGTCGCTATTTTGCATCTTGCAAAGAGGGGAGGAGGAGTCATTGTCAATACTGCTTCACTTGCAGGCTTTGTAGGCACAAGGCATGTTTCATTCCAAATTGTTGAAGGTGTAATATTGCATGAACTCTAAATCCTTCCACAGCGTAATTCCGCACTACACAGCATCGAAACATGGCGTCGTTGGCTGGACTAGGTCAATGCAACCAATGAAAGACGTCGCCAACGTCCGTGTGAATGCTGGTAAGTTCAGCATGCTCTTAGGGGGGGGATCTTACTGCACATTTTTTCTATATCTGGTTCTAATGGATAAACCTTAGTGTGTCCATACTGGGTGGAGACTGACATACTTAACGGTATTAAAGTTCCTGGCACTGGCTTTATCGATGTATCGCCGAAGGTACCCATGGAGACAGTAATGGATGCGTATATGACAGCCATTTTGGATGAAAGCCAGCATTGTAAGTACCTAACATTCACTCGAGACTAGCTTCATGATATGCCATTTCTAATCAGATACGCGCATAAAGGCCAGACTATTGTAGCCCTGCCTGACGGCGTTCAGGTCCAACCTGCCTTCAATCTATGGGGTACGTACATAGTCAATGTCACAGGAACTTTAATTCTTTGGCAATACTTCATTAGCACTAAACGACTGTTTTAGAATCATGTGTGACGGAGGAAATGATACAATCCAAAATGGTAGATTACAAAGAAGAGGTGGAAGCGCTGAAGTCTGGATTGAAGGAAGCTCGTATGCGAGCAAACATATAAGTTGGTGATAAGCACTGATGGTGATGAACGTACCATGACGTTTAGGAAGGGATACCTCCTTGACCGAGATACATGCCTTTTTTTAATTCCTTGGGTTCGCTTGCCCATAACTAAATAAATATAGTCTACTTTTTACACGATTAATCTGCCTCCTTTTTGTCTATCTTCAGCTCAGATGACTGTTTGGGGCAGACTGTACTTGACCTCTTGTTGATCATTGGTGAACTACTGGTGGGCTACCGTTATTCCTTAAATAGGTTGTCCAATTCTGTTAAATCAGGATATCCATGTTGGCGATGATATATGTCATGATTTTCTGACACGTAACAATCTTTGCAATACCAGTTGTTGCATAGTGGGCATTGAACGCAGCAGTCTATACAGGTCCTGGAACCAGAATGGCATGGTCCTTCTTCGTCGCGGTTGACACAAGTTTGTAAATGATGCTCGCACTGTGCCAATTCACAATTGTTGCACAAGTTAGTTTCTTCGTGCAGAGCACAATACCTAAGCATCTCCCCGTTACCATGATAGCAGCGTCCTTCCAAAAAATAATCTTCAGCCATTGTATCGTATTCATCAGGATGATCTGGGCAAATCTGAGCATCACAGGCTGAGCAATATTCAGTGCAAGACAAGCACACGTTAAACTTCCGATGATCGCACGTCTCTATGATGCATGTTTTGTTTCCGCTCGTGTGTGCAAATTGTGATTCGCACATTTCACAAATAGCTAAATCATGGACTAAATTCTTGTCTGGAGTTTTACCCGGTTGAACTTCGTCCTTTTCTTGTTTTCCATTGGCTAACCATTCCAGTTCCTGTTGCAAGCTGTTCATCAGTGTTATATCACTTTCATTCTTAATGATTTCCTGTCGAAAGGAAGTGTTCGCTAGCATCAATGTTCTAAACTTGGTACACCGAATGTTCTTTTCATGAAGTTGTCTTAGTGCCGTATAAGCGGCCAGTAGATATTTTGATGTTGAGTCACTTAAATGCGGTCGAACATCCAATATCTCCAGCGTATCGAATTTTTGCAGGGTAAACTGTATCATATTGCCCATTGCTTCGCTGCTTGGAGGTCTCCATCGAATTCTTTGTACTGAACTTGCTGGTAGGCTTTTGAGATATCTATAGTATCGAGAAAAAGACGCTGGTCTGAGTATGTATTCCTCTACATGTCAACTTGTGTTCAAGGCAGGCTTACAGTAAGATAGAATCATATTTCGGTACTGGAAACTTTCGTGCCCTTGGACTATCTTGGTAGTTAAAGTCAAGCTCTGCCCATAGTTGATGTGTCTGATGTAATGCAGATCGCAGTAGCTTGCACACCCCCAGCAGTGGAACAACGTTACGAAAGTGGCCTTCTATGGCCAACGAAATGGAGATTTCGATCCAAATGTCCAACGGCAGAGATGCCGGCATAATCTTGCTATCATTCGCTTGTATAGCTCTAATAGAGTTAACTCCTTGCAGCATTGAATGGGGAGCCTTTCACAATCGCGAGACTCGCTCTTTCCTTGAATTTTTACGTTGGGCTGAACAGCTAAATTTGGGCATGGATATTTCAAAGCTCGACAAGCTGGGAGGTCGAAATTCATCAACCTTTCCAATTGATTTTATGGCAAGCGCTAACCTCATTACCGAATCTACTGTATTAAATGCTTTCCGAACGTTCATTTAACATGACTATCTTACAATGCTTTTCGTAAACGGTGCTGTATTTTTACGACAACCTGAACCCAGGCGCATGAGATGAGCACACATCCTACGATTATCCGTGTTGAACCAACAAGTATGCGATAGGATGATTGACATTATTCATTCTTACAAGTCTTACATGGATACCAGAAAAGGTCGGTCTCTAATAAGGCTTTAAAAGTGTAAACTTTTCTTTTTGCTTCACACACTGTCTGTTACCAAAGGGACATTTATTTTGATGCTCAACTCCGACACGGTATGAATTGACTCTCACGGAAAGGAACAATAGAATGCTTTCCTCTCGGACACAATGCTTCACATGCTTACCCCAACACGAATTTTAAGACAACTCCCCTCGTGTAACGCTCGCTACTACTCTACAAACGTTCCAAAAGCGTTCGACGAAGCGTCACTGCGATTTATTTCCGACTGCTTAAAGAATGTCCCAAAACTGAAATTCCAATTCATTGACAATCCAAAGAATGCTGCCGTGTTAATGCCTCTATGCACAACCATGGATGGCAAGCCAAGTGTGCTGTTTACTATACGTGCAGCTCATATGAGGGCGCATAAAGGCGAGATAAGGTTTGTTCGTTTGGTGCTATATTTGCTGACCTTGAGTCGAAACTAACAAAGCCATGCTTTGAATAGCTTCCCTGGTGGTAAGCAAGGTAAGCACTAATTATTACCTATCATGGGAGGGTTCTGGGAAGAGGAGAGGATTGTGAATAACATGGTTGACCAATTGATGTCAATTTACATAGACGCCGAAGATGAATCACCGCAACATGCAGCGCTCAGAGAAACGATGGAGGAAATCGGCATATCAAACATAGACATACTTGGACAATATGCAATACTGCCCAACAAGCATAGAAATCTACGTGTTCATCCCTTCGTTGGTTATATCAAGGATCCTGTAGATGTCAGCAAAATCAAATACAATCCAGATGAGGTCGCAAGCGTATTCACCTTGCCATTGGAATATCTCACCGACCCTGCGATATGTGAGATGCAAAATTTCAGAGACTCTTCGTACAAATACCCTGTATACAAGACGCCCGACGATATTGAAGTTAGGGAAATCTGGGGCTTGACTAGCTTCATCATGAGTGGTAAGGATAGTGCAAAGAAATGCTATGAAAGTACTGGTATTCACTTAACTCAAAAAAAAATCTGTTCGTTCAGGTGTATTTCGAAAGATTTTTTAGATCTGGTTGACTTTTTTAAAAGACTTAATGGTAATCATGTGAATTAGCATTCATTTACATTCATTGGCTTTTTTTTACAAAGAGATTTTCAAATGTATTATTAATGGAGGAGGACTTCAGTTGTGTACAATATATGTTTTTCTGAAGACTTTTCTCAAACTGTCGCCGTGGTTCTGCTTTGCAAATCTTTCTTTCTTTGTTAACGAAATATGGGCTGGTACTGATAAAACAATGCGGATCAACTGAATAAGGAAAAAGTCACATCTACCACTTGGTATGTTCACTACAGCAAAAGCGAATTCGTCTCCATAGGATCACTGACGAGAATAGATAAAAAATAAAATAAAAAGTTTGATGTCGTGTGAAGCTACCTTTGAATTGCCTTTATGAAAATACGAATGAGAGGAAAGACGATCAGAATTAAGTATAAAGAGTATCAACTTTCAGATTTCGTAACGAAAGGAGAGTACATATCCACATATATATTACCTTGCGTACAGTACCGCAACGATTTATACTCACTTTTTATCATCAATAATGTCTGTATCTAAAGTATTTGATACTATTGGCAAAATCATGAGGACCATCGCATTTGGAGGTGCTACTTAAATACTCTCGCTTGTGACAATACAATTATATGCGCACTTAAATCAATGCCTATATAATTTACATGGTTACAGCATCGTCAAATGGAAGCCATGTCGTTAAATTAGTTTATTTATTTTAAAAAAAAAGAGACAGTAGACGATCGTAATAGGATTTTTTATTCGAGAAAGGTATGAATTATGGTTTTCACTTTTTAATATAAAGTCAAATACTTAAGTCTTGTTTATTGCTGAGGGAAAGCGTGTAGGATAACATAAACGGTGTCCCTATGGTATGATTGAAGCATTGATGTGTTGCTGACCGATGGGTGGTGAGCTACTCTAGTTCTCTTTCTGATTGCGTTCGCATTCAAATACAACATAGGCTCAATGACTTCGACTACTGAATGTAGACATACTGTTAGTTGGCGGAATGAGGACGAGGATGTGGTTATAGGCTCTAGAGCCACGCTTTTATTCTCAGTCATATAAATAATAAAAATTTTCTATCTAATGTATCCCAGATCTCTATGCCACGCCAGCATGTTCGCCTTTGTGGCCTGGGAGGGTCAACTTCTAACTTAATTTTTTGTGATCTTTCTTTTGTTTGGGAGGGAGGCCACCACATCCTCGTCCTCATTCCGCCAACTAACAGTTGCGTGTCGTTCCTAACACAACTGTAGTGTGGCTCCATTCGTCCTCAGATGTGGTTACTTTTCCGTACTAGGCGAACA